TAGTTTTAGAATTTGGTACAGCAAGCTGTGGTTCTCAAACCCAGCTACATATCAGATTCTCATGGAAGTCTTTAGGAAATAAGAGTGCCATATAGCATGTAGTATGTATCTGGTTAAGAGCAAAGGAACTCCTTAGTTCAAATTCTAGCTCTGCCTTGTACTAACTGACTTCATATAAATGATTTCATAATCTAAAATGGAGAATTGATGTTACTACTAACACCTTGTTAGGATACAAAGATAAGAGATATATTGCACAACATCTCGTGTACATGAGGTATTCAATAAATGTTAGTTTCCATTACCATCATAATTGTTATCAGTAGTATCCTAACCACTATCCAGATTCCTGTTTCTGTGGATTACTTACACAGAAAGGAAGTTAGTGCTTCCCTGAGCGTTTGTGTATCTGTGACCTCTTCCATGGTATCTCATATTAAAGTTTTTGAGGCTGTTCCCTTAATCAGATACTCGTGCAAAATTTTTATAACAATTCTTGCATTGTGCCTTAATTTGCTTTTACAATGTTATTTTTCTATTTAAAACAGAAAGGTAGAAAAGTTAATTTCATGGCTTAATATCATTAGAGAAAGCCATTTTGTTTGTTGTCTTTGAGTAACAGAATTCACTTTTACAAACAGGTTTTGAGATGTAGTAAAATAGCTGGTGTGAAAGTAGCAGAAATTACAGAGCTAATTCAGAAAGCTTTGGAGAACGACCAGAAAGTGAGGTAAGTTTTTCAGAAGTAAATAGTCTTTTTATAACATGTTAGGACTTCTTGAACAAGAGCAACCATATGATTTTCACGTGGTCTTTATTTGTTAATCTCATTTGAATATACTACTTAGTGTGTTTTAAAGAGTTGAGTAGGGCTGGGGATTTAGCTCAGTGGCACCGTGCTTGCCTCACAAGTGCAAGGTCCTGAGTTCAATCCCTGGTACCGCCAAAAAAAAAAAAAAAAAGAGAAAGTTGAGTAGGCTCTATTTTATTCCATTTTAAACATCTATATTGAAAAGCCACATAAGATTTTCTTAGGAAAAAAAGAATCTAGTAACTGTAAAATATAAACAGGTTGATTCCCATTTCTGTTTCTTACCATGTGATCTTAAGATATGTAACCTAGCAGCTCAGTATTCTTTTCTAGCTCATGCGAGCCTAATGATATCCTCAGAGGGGTAGTTTGAGCATTAGAGAATGTACATACTTCTAAGCATCTGTCACATGCCCAGTACATGGTTCAGTAAACATTTCTCTTGATAGGCATAATAAATTGTGAGGTTAGGCGATACTCTTAAGTGAAATAAATAGGACACACATGTATAAATACCGAATAGTTTCTCTGGTGTGAGAAACTGAAAGTGTAAATAAGGACTAAAATGTATAATAGGTAATGTGGAATAGGAAGAAAAGGGGGCAAAGGGGGGAAGGAAGTGGGAGGAGTAGGGGAAAGGATACAAGGGAATGGGATTAATATGAGAAAATAGAAAAATAGGAACAAAATCTTTGTAAATAGGGAGGAATGGAGGGGTTGAAGGGAGGGCTGGGCAAGGGTGAAAAATAAGAACCAAGAGAGATTATGTAAAGGTACAAATATCCAATGATGAATGTCATTATATTGTATACCTAAAATGTACCAATGATTAGAATGAATAATTGATAATGCAAAATAGGAAGAAAAGGTCCAAAGGGGTAGGGGTGGTGGGAAGGGCAGGGGAAAGTAAAGAAGGGAAAGGAAAAATGATGAGAAATGGAAAAAATGGAAATAAAGTCTTTGTAAATAGGGAAGGGTGGAGGAGGTGAAGGGAGGGCTAGGAATGGGGAAAAAATAAGAACCAAGATGCATTATGTAAAGGTCCAATTCCCAATGAGAAATGTAATTGTGTTGTATACCTACAATGTACCAATAAAAGAATTTAACAAAATAAATAAATAAGTACATACATACATAAATTGTGAGGTTAAGTTAAACTAATTCGTATTTCTCACTCCCCAAAGGCTAACTTTTTCCTTTCCTTCCTGTTTTTTCTCTCATGTCATCATCCCACTCCCTCAAAAAATAACAAAACCTCATATAGGAAAGAAGGTGGAAAGTTTGGCTTTGCAGAATCTATAGCAAATCAAAGGATCACAGCATTTAAAATGGAAAAAGCCCCCGTTGATACTTCTGATGTTGAGGAGAAAGCAGGAGAAATCATTGCTGAAGCGGAACCTCCTTCAGAAGTGTATCTTTATTGAGTGGTCTTTGCAGTAACAAGAATATTCATTAACACATTGGGCTTTATTAAAGTTATATGTGTACATTGACATTTGTTTTCTGAAATATGTACTGTTAAACACTTAAAAACTTAGTGATATGAGTCATATTACTGATGGTGTAGCATTCAGCTTCTCTTGTTACACTGCAAAAACCAGAAAATTCTCTGTCTTAAGAACCAATTAGGGGCTGAGGATATAGCTTAATGGTAGAGCATTTGCCTCCACCAGTGGTGGCAGACCCATGGCACACATGCAGTTATTTGTTACCATTGAAAGCTCTACAAGGTTCACCATCAGTAGCCTACAGCATGTTCAGGACCACAAGTTTGACTCTTAGCCCTGCAAACACAGCAAACCAAAAAACAAGTGTACAGCATTTTGTTTTCCTTAGGAAAGTTATTCTTTAATATTGATAGCATGGACAAGGTGTTTACAATTGAGGTATTTTTTGTGCTGGGAGTCAAATCCAGGGCTTTGTGCATGCGGGGAGAAGCTGTTTAGTCTATTAAGTAGCAGTGCTTTGTTCTTCAGTTTTCTTAACTTGGTAAGTGTTTCTAAACCTGTGCTCTGGACCTCTGGAACTGCCCGGATTGGAGAGGGAGTAGAAAACTCCTGGGGTGATCTTGAAGACTCTGAGAAAGATGAGGACGAAGGTGGCAGTCATGAAGCTGTCATTCTTGACAATATAAAAATGGACACTGGAGCAGGAGTTTCTGATATTGGAAGCCAAGGTAGGTGATTTATGGCTTTTATACGATGTTTGCTTACAAAATACATCTACAGATAACATTGTATATTAACTATATATGGATAAATCAGAGAAACCTATACAAAGAATATTGATACAGCTGTATATAGGGATATCTTTTCCTTTCTAGGTGGGGCTGTTTTGTGATTTAAATTTCAACTAAATAAGACATATTAACACCAATTCTTTAAGTTTTTTACCTTTTGCATATATTTATCAAGGCCCATGTCATAACATAGTACTATTTTATAGTATTTTTGTAATATGAAGTATTCTCTATCTGCATTGTCCAGTACAATAGCCACTAGCCTTGTGCAGCTATTAAACACCTGAAATGTAGCTTGGATGATCAAGAAATTGAATTTTTTGTTTTAGTATAAAATAACTGAGGCTAGTGCTATCATATTCAAGAGTTCAGTATTAGAATTCACAAAATTCCCAGAATGCCTGGAATGATGTCAGTCCTACCTGTTCTTGCCTGGTCTATAGTAAAATCACAAATTGCTTTATGTAGTACAAACAAGTCATGCAGTGATCTTGGAACTAGAGGATACTTATACTTACTAAATTTGGTGAATTTGTTTGAGTGTAATGCACATAGTGCTTGGCTTCATAAAAGGAAATTATTGCTATGAATGTTACAGAGAATCTGCTGAGTTTTAGTTTTGGAAATTAGGCAAATAAGTGAAGAAAAAAATCTCCACTGATTGGAACCCTTGTGCAACTTTTCCAATGGCTTACTTTTATTTGGTATTACTCCAGAACTTGTTCCATGTATTTATTCACTATATGGGGAATGAAGTAAGCTGCTTCAAAACAGGGAACTACCTTTAGTTTTTCCATGTCAGCATATAACATCAGCCACATTATTTAAAAATTTTTAGAATTCTGTATCATTGAATGGACCTAGTTGGTTTAACCATTCCCTTACTGGTGAACATGTGGTCTACATTTCTTCACTGCTAGAGACCTTATACTTATATGCACCTCTTTGGTTAGTACAGTAATCCTCTAAGAATAATAAGGTTAATAGACATTCTGTTTCTGGTTTGAAGAATACTTTCAGTTGAATAAATGAAAAGTGAACCTGAGATATCTGGGAGGATGGAGCAGGTAAAGCCTTTCTAAAATGTAAACAGACTAAAGGCTAAAACTGTAAAAAATTGATATACAATGAATCAACTGGAAAAAGGGTTAATTCACATCAGTGTATATGTATACACACACACATATAAATACATATAAAGGTACATACACATTAAGTGTTCAGGATAAAGATGGGCTAAAAAGATATGAAACAATCTTAAAATACAAAAGAACTGTTAATGTTAACATTCTTCAGGGTCAACCATGATAATAAAGGAAGTCAGTTCAAAGGAAAAAATGACAGCATTTTTTTAAGTTAATGTTTTTGACAGTATTTAAAATACTAGCATTCATAAATATGTATGGAAAATGGGTTTTTCATTTACTATTCCTTATAATTATAGAGTGTAAATTGGCAGTTTCTGGAAGGATTTGGCAAAAGTATCTTAGAATGTATGTGCCTTCTTTCCTAATAGTTTTGCTTCTGGGTATTTTTTGGTATTTTTAAAAGGAGAAAAGCAAAAATAAATCCTAAGACTATTAGCTTCCTTTTCAAATTGATTCTATAAAAGATACTATATATTTCCCCCTAACTTCTTCCTTACAACACGTGTCAAGTACAGTGTAGGGGTAAGTTTTCTACATGAGTTTTTCCAGAGCTCCAGGGTTCTACTTCGAGGAAAGAAATTTTGGGAACAACAAAGTACATGTATTTGTAAGCCTCCAGAGTAACTTTGGGCTTTTTGTATGCAAATGGTAGTTTTAGAACCTGACAGAAATAAACTCCTGGAAATTTTAAGAGATTACTTATATTGCTTTCCTGACATTTTCATAGATGACCCAATAGTACTCTCAGATAGTGAAGAAGAAGAAATGATCATTTTAGAACCAGACAAGAACCCAAAGAAAATAAGGTAACACATTTCTGGTTTATTTCAAATATATACACATGCTTGGAACTTTAGAGATTTACCCAATGGTTTTACTCTCTTATTCTACAATAGAAAGACGTCCCTTTTTCACTACATATTCAACTATTCTTTCTCTGGTTTCTTCACCCTATGATTTACAAAAATTAGTGCATAATTCGATAAAGTAGGATGTCTTTCAAAGTTACTGTATTTTATTCTTATAGCTGCCACATTGTATATCATATAAAGAAGACCTATTTCAGTGATCCAACATTTAACAAACATAGTTAGTGAACTGTTAATTTACTTTATTCACAGAACGCAGACCACCAGTGCAAAACAAGAAAAAGCACCAAGTAAAAAGCCAATGAAAAAGAGAAAAAAGAAGAGAGCTACTAACTAAAGCTAACATAGTTGTATGTTTGTATATATATATATATAACTATTAAAAGGATATTTATTCATTGCTAACAATGACTGGATACTTTTTATTCACAATTCTATAGTGAGTCTTTTGGGGTTTTAAAATACACTTTAAAATGAACCTTCTGGGAAATTTTTTGTCTGTTAATTTTCACAAAACTTTCCAACCCATGTGTAACCTCAAAACCTTAACAGGTTTCAAATGACATTTTCCATTGTACAATAAATTGTAAGCCAAGTTAACTTTTCTAAAGGACATCATGGTCATAGTTTCATCACAAAGTAAATTTGACTTACAGAAATCAAGATTTCCAATCAGTTTATTAATTCTTGTCCTGACAGCTGGCATCGTTAATACTTTAACAAAACCACTTAAAATTAGCCAGATATCTAAGGTAGATACATGTACAAAAGATATACAAATTAAAACCATTTAAAAAGGAATAGATACCATAACTTGTCCTTGGCCATAACTTCTGTATTCAGAATGATTGTGCAATTAAAACCTAAGGTAAAAACTGTACACCATGTGCTCCAAGTGACTGAATGAGGGCAGTCTTTCACTGTCACACATTTAGTGTCTCTGGGGGATTGAGGAGTGAAACACCATGATACCTGTAAGAGGGGGGAAATCCACTTTTAGTAAACATTCATAGGAAGAAGGCGATCCTAGATAATACATGCACTGGAAACTACAAAATGCTATTTCTGATTAGGTTAATTAAAATCACTGCTGATTTTAACATCCATGCAGCTCTCCCCCAACCCCCCCAGCAAAAACAGCATTAACTACAACCTTTGCCAAACACATGATCTGTTAAGAGAACAGCTTCTTAGGAGTCTGTGGCACATTAAGTGTGACCTTTAATAAAGTTAAAATGTCACAGTTTCTGAATCATTCTGGAAAAACAAGTATCTTCATTATTCAAGTCTTACTTTGAATTTTTGTACTTTTCTCTTATCGACTGTTGTGCATGCTGTGGTGCTTTGAGGTAGGTCTGGTGAAGGTCCATAAGACAAGGCTTAAGACTTTCCAGGGTATATCCAGTCTTTCGAACTAAAGATTCAGGCTGCAGAGAAGGGAGTAAAGAACTACTGTTTTTGTTGTTAGTAACACAACAAACTACAGTAGATACAATGAATTAATAGCTGGCTCAAGTTTAAGTTTCATCACAAATCTTTTAACAGTCAACTGACAAATTGCATTTTCTGAACCTACTATTCCATCTTTTATGCTGACTGATCCATTTTTACTGCTTTCCCTGCCAACAGATCAGATAGGCAAAATCCTTTAGGCACACCTTTCAAATCCAAGTTTACAAATAAACTTTCAGATGCTGATTCAATAGATAAGAGGTCTTAAACAGTATATATATTTGAGCAGTTTTTCCAACTAAGATCTAGACGGCCATCAGTTCTATGGAACAATTGTTTAACTTGTCTGGTACCAGCATATCTGCCATACAGATGATGTGTAAAGACAATGTAATACATACCCAGCTTTGTCCTATGACTGTGTAGAGTGCTAAATGAAAGGCTGCTCCAGCGATAACTGATGGCAAATACTTTAGGTATGGGTCAGCATCAATCAAACTTAATTCTCCCAAAAACTGTAATGAAAAATACTTAGGATCACAGCTCTAAAAAGCAAATCTCAAACCCTTACTTTCTGATGCAATTTTTTTTTTATTACAGGCTCTAGCAACCCTGGATAAAATATTCTACAGCCTCATCTTTAAACACAGCAACTATTTAAATGCTTTGCTCCAGTCTCCTATATCGTCCCTCTTTTAAAACAACTCTGACTACCTTCTCCCAAGACTTTATCCTCAACTTACTACTCTGTACTTTACCAATATGGTCATCTCTTGGTACCCACCCATAGGGAAACCTCTCCACAAACCCTCACCTCCTGCTCATGGACAGCAAAATTAGTGACACCCAAGTCCTTTATATGTCAATACTATTTGCATATAATTTACATTTTCATATATACCTTAAATCAAGATTGCTTATAATACCTAAAAAATATAAATGCTATATTTAGAGAATGACAAGGAAAAAAGTCTATACATGTTCAGTACAGATACAAGTTGTTCCCTGAATATTTTCAATCTGTGGTTGGTTGAGTCCATGAATGTAGAACATAGTTATGGAGGGCCAACTGTATGTTGACATTCATTGATGGTAGGCTTTTTTCCTGTATTACAACATTCGTCCCTGGAACATTGAATCTCTTGAGCAAAGCTACACTAACGAAACAAGAGCTTGCTCCTAATTATTAAGAATCTGCAACAAAATAAAATTAACTTACCATTGCTAAGCTTTCAACTTTGCAGTTTGCAGGCTGGTGATGCAGAAAGTATTGGGTAAGAAATTGATTCACTGTTGGTGCAGCTAAGTCAAAAGCAAGGACTTTGAGAACTAGATGTTCCATTCTCAGAACTTGTTTCTTCGTATAAGTATCATCTGTAATGTACACAAACTCTGCTACTTCTGGGGGGTATATTTCTTCAAACTTTCTATAATGAAAAAAGTTTTAAATAAGTCCTAAAAGGAAAACAAGGTTCCTTATCCAAATTCTGAAATCCCATTAGCAGAATACTTGGAATGATTCCAAAACTCACACTCTCTACCAAATGTATTTCCACTATTAACGTGGCCATCATTTCTAGCAGACTAACTATTGCTTAAAAGGCCTAAATCAATAAAGGACCTTTGAGATCCTTCTACCTCAAAGGAAATGAATGAGAGGCATAAAGTTTTCCAAGGTTGGAACAATGCAAAAGTTCACCATGTAGCTGAAAACTTAGGAAATACAAATCTAAAATTAAACAGTTCATGTTTTCTTTCTTAAATCATTGTTTTCAGGTCCCAGTGGGGAGAATATACTGCTTATATGCCTGCCAGATAGTACTTTATTATGGAAGGTAGCCAGTCTCTCTGTTCAAAGTACCCTGAAATCTAGATCTTAGGAAGATTAATATTCTGGATTAGAAAACAATGTCCTTCTTTTTTTTTACCTCTCAACTTCTACCACACATCCCTAGTGACTCTTTGCCTTGTGATTCTACTGCTTCTGGGTGAGTATATTTCTGTGTGGTGTGTTAAAATGTTACAATTTTTAAAAATCATAATGTCTTCTCTGTACAGAAGGATAATGATGATGAACCCAATAATGAACCAAGCTGGACTTACGAGGCTAGCAGCATAGCAGCAGTGCCCACAAGCTGAAGCTTTCCTCTCAGCACAGACATTGAAGAGAGGAACCTATCAATGTAGTTCACAGCCAAATGCAGGGTCTCATTCTGCAGTTTATATTCCTCTCCCACTTCAACTAACCAGTCCACAAGGACAGCCCTCATACTGTTAGTGATGTCTGGCTGTTTCTTCATGTAACCCACTTTAGGTTTACATTTCACCTGGTGAGAAAAGTTTTGTAGTGTTAAAATTGTAATTAGCTTATTTACCATTATCAAAGATGCTACCATAAACAAGTATAGCATTAAGAGTAATCTGCTAGTAATTTAAAACTTAAATATTACAGACAGGCATGGTGGCACATGCCTGTAATCCCAGTACTCTGGGAGGATAAAGCAGAATTCCAAGTTCAAGCCCAGCCAGGACTAGGGATGTAGCTCAGCACAAAGGCCTTTGAATCAATCCCAAGTACCATAAAAACAAAGTTTAAACATTCTCTAAATTTCAGTTACATTTAATGAATATATTACACAAACTGGAATCAGAGAGCCTTTACCTCCATCTCCCTAAGGTACGTGTGAATATCCTCATGGTAGTCTGGTACTTCATTAACACTCACTGGCTTTTCCTCTTCTAATACAATCGACATGTCCATAATATGTGGTGAATCTGGGACAGTTCAAAAGTTATGATCAAATTAACTTTTTAATTTGCTTTGACAAAATATAAGAAGTCTAACACTACCAATGCATTTGTTTATTTCATCCAACTAAAAGATTTCTTATGGCAAAGTACATAATTATTGACTCTTGGGCCGGGGATTTAGCTCAGTGGTTCCGGCGCCTGCCTCGAAAACGCATGATCCCGAGTTTGATCCCCGGTACCAAAAAAAAACCACACACACACATAATTATTGACTCTAGTCTTCGTATTTCTGTCCATATAGCTTTAGAATGATATTTAGAAAAATAATTATTGATAGACTAACCAGAGGGTGGAGTATTACAAGAACAGATGGTACAATGGTTCTGTTAGGACCAAGAACTTAAAATCCAAGTTTTGGGGTGGTATCTAAGGTTTGCCCTGAGAGATTGCAGACCTCATAGTATGACATATTCAAAGCACAACTAGGGAATAGCTAGAATCAAGTATCATGGTTTTTAATAACAAGTGTTAATAGTTAGTTTGTTTATGGGACTTCAAATAGATTAACAACATAAGTGACTCAATTTTTATCATTTAAACTATCTTTTAAAGCAAAGAATATTCATTTTGTTTCCACTTCAAAGATCACTTTGATGTTAAAAATTTCTTGCAAAATTTCATTGACTAGGGTGTAACTCTGGTAAAGCACTTACCTACCACGTTCAAGGCCCTAGGTTCAATGCCCAGCACAAAAATAAAATCAAATAAAAATTTTTTCTTGCAAAATTTGAACAAAAACTATGTCCAAAGGATCTTCTTGCTCCCAACCACCAGCCAATCAGTGGAACTAAAACTAAACTGGATTAGTGAATTATCATGTGACTCAACAGCTCTATGGTAAAGAAACAGCACAAATCGCAGATCTGTCTTCAGCAGCTACAAATGGTTTAGGGCAAACAGACACCTACTGACTTGCGGGACAGTGTGTCACTTTTTGGTACCACATGATCCACTCAAACCAGCTTTACAGAAAGAGATGTTGGTTTTTCATAGTATGTAAGACTTCACCCTCTACTACTCTTTGAAATGGAGGTTTGCCAGTATTACGAACACAAGCAAACGTGTGGGATGGATTAAGCATTCAATGACTAATAATTATATTAGTCCTGGAAGGAGTGCCACGTTAGGATTTGTAGGTCACTAGGTCAAGTGTTCAAGGGTTAGCAGTGACATCTGAAATAAATTACACTCATCCTAAGCCTATTAGAGTAAACCTAACTCACTGTATCATACTGATCAGGTAAGGCAGTGTCTTAACATGTAAAATATTAACCTAATCAAATAATTACAACTTGATTAAGAGTTTCCTTAAAACTTACCAAAACTACCGTCCATTGGATAATCAAGAGGTACCAGTGGTTTTCTTGGTCCCGGTAAAGCAACAGCTGTATTAAAAGCCAGGACATCTTCGCACTCTGGTTTTTTAGATTCAGATGGCCTCTTCCGAGTGTCATCTTCTGCTTCATCCACATGAATGGTGAATGCAGGCTGTTTACTGTTTGCTTTCCAAGGTGGTAGAGTAGCAACGTTCTCATCATTGACAGGAAGATCTTTAAGAGGTGCAACCTAAAAGGAAATTACTTTCTGGCTTTTAACTTATTAAATGCAGTTTGCCTTCTTCACCTTATGGGTCTGAGCCTTTCCTTTTACTCCCAAATACATTATCAGGAATATTAAACTTTCTGAGACAAAATCCAAGAATACCTTAGAGTTATCAAAGAGATGTTCCAATTTGTCACAGGCATTCCTACAAAGACTAAGAACTAGGTGGAGTTACAAACTAATTAAGGGTGGATGTAAAACCATTAGATGTCAACGAGTTGAGGAAAAGGCATGGGAGAAAAATAGTTTCACCACTTTCGCCCCAGGGTGGAGCAACAGAGCAAATCTGGCTAAAATGGCGGAATCTGCCAAAAGTGAAGTACTTTACACTTTTTCCTCACTATCTCTTAAGCAAATAGAGGGAAAGGAACCATGTCCTGGGGCAGTGCCTGGCGTTTGAAAGTGGAGGGAAAAGCACTGAGCAAAGACGCCAAACACTACCCATGTTGTAAGACTTGTTCTGACCCCATTATGCATACAGAAAGATGCCTCCGATACAGAACAGATCGGCAGCGTACGCACAGTGCCAGTAGGGGCTGTAATGTTAAGAATATTGGAAGAAACTATAGCAGTGTCCTACAAACTACATCAGGGACCGAGTGGACTCCAAATCCAAGCCCCCTTAAAGAAAAAAAAAAAAAGCTTTCTAGCCACTCTTGTCTGCCTGCTTAGCCCATGCCCAACTCTCGTTCAGGCCACCCTCCTACAGATGAGTCGTATCCACTTACCCGCCGCGTCTTGAGTCTTTGCTGCGGCGCGGAACTCCGCGGATTCCCGGCCTTCAGCACCGCCAGGCCGGCCTGAGCCCGCGGCTGCTGGGCAAGCGCCGCCTTCTCCGGGTTGATGTTCTCTTGGTCCTCCTGGGGGGCCGCCTGCTGCAGTGTTAGCAGCGCCGAGCCCGCCTCGCGGGCCGCAGGCCTCGGCGCGGAGCTGCCCAACATCGCTGCTCCCGGGGGCGGGCGGCCGGATCAGCCTGCGGCACCAAGCAGCGTTCACTCCGCCCCGCGACTGGTCACGTCGACCTCGCCGAGGTACCCTCCAGCCCGCGCCGCCACTACACCCCGAGCCAGCCTGCCGCCGACCGCTCACCCGGCTCGGGCCCGTGCTGGATCGAGGAGGTCGCCAAGTATGGAGGTAGGCACAGCCGGGCACGAAGGGGTCAGGACGCCCAGAGAAGTAGCTAGCAGCCCGCCGGTGCCGTGGCTGCTCTTGCAGTTCAAGTAGCCCGCGACTATTGAAATGGACCAATGAGAGCCGCCGCGACCCGTGACGTCACTGGGGCGACAGGGTTAGAGGCGAGGGAAGACGGCCGTAGAGGGATGGGGGGGGGGGCACAGAATTGCCAAACTACGGCGGGAGGAAAAACGCCTGCGCCGGAAGGGCGGGGAAGGCGGAGCCCAGCGCCTCGCGACTTTAAACTGAGCTACTGGGCAGTCCCGGGTTTCACCGCAGGGGCTGCTAATCCTTTTAGGACAAACGGAATTAAACTTCACCTGTTAGTGGGGCGTCCCATCTTGTAGCTCTGTACCTATAGTTAGGCTGACTGAGCCATTTCCCGGAGTCTAAATGCCAACGAGGCCATTAACCGGGAGTAATATCATCTACATAACATATGGCTGTTAGGATTCAATAGGGTACATAAATTATTTGATACGCTGCTCACATAAACAAGTGGCAGACTATCAAAGATAAATATCTGACCATTGAACTGTTTATTCACAGTAAGCATGCTGTGTATGTGTTGATGCCGGGGATTGAACACAGGGTCTGCGCATGCTAAGCACAAACTACCACTGAGTCACATCCCCAGCCCAGTCTTCGGCTTTTTTTTATGCTTCCTAATTTACACTTGATCTTAACAGGCCAAGAAGCAATTATTTTTCCTAATTTAGATGGAATCAACTTAAAATGCCACCTTGCCCTACCATTTATAATATAAACAAATTCAATTAGAAATTTTGTCTTTTCCCCCTCTAGCAGTGCCAATCAAGCATACAGTGAAATCCTAGTAACCCAAGTACAATTCTTTTTAATGTTCCATTTAGAAATGAAGGCTGTTTAAATATAGTAAAAGTGGGGGCTGAGGGTGTAGCAAGCACAGTGGTAGATCACATGCTTAGTATGTACAAAGCTCTGGGTTCAATCCTCACCACTTCCCCTTAAATACAATAAAAACAATATGACCTTATTAAAATAAAATTAAACCATATGTGGCTTAATCAAATCTTTTCCATTTAATATCGAAGGACAGTACATAATTAAGAATCATTTTCTAAAAACATAGTTTTTGTAGTCTTTTGAGACGGTCTTGATGTGCAGTTCAGACTGGCCTTGAACTCAGTGATCTTCCTGCCTAACCTCCACAGTGCTGGGATTACAGGCGTGTGCCACCACACCCGGCTCCATTTACCCTTCTTGAAAATACAAAAAATAGCTCCTTTCCATTGTCTTTATGCCATTTAAAAACCTTTAAATACAAAATTCTCCTGAAATATGAATTAAGATTAATACACAAAATTTCTGTAATTTGTGTATTTTCCTTCATGTATAAATAACAAGGAAGTTAGTGGATAGTAGTGCAAGAAAAACCTTAGTGCCTATCACTCTTCAATGTGTACATCTACAGCATGATGGGTTGGGTGCATCAAGTTAAAGTCCCTTTTCTCTGCTTATTCCCCTGGCCGTAATTTACAGAACTGAGCCAAGCTAGGCATTTCACAAACTTCAGAAGGGTCATAAAATGTTACCAAGCAAGCAAGAAACCTGCCGCAGATCAATTCTAACTCCTAGGAAAAAAAAAAAAGGTAGGTTATTTCCACTGGGGTGATACACAGGAACCAGAACACAAATCAGGTACCAGAACTTGGATTCTGGTCCAGCTTGATAGATACTAGCATGTCCTCTTGATTACTTCACATCACGGAGAATCAGTTTTCTTATATTATTTGACAAAGTTATAAAACAGTTGTGAAGATTAAATAAGGTATTATATAAAAATTAAAAATTCTGAAACCTGTAGTTTACATTATGTACATTTTATAAAAATGTTGAAGTTTTATTTTCAAAACATTTCTCAATTTAAAATATCCACTTGCCAAAAAAATTAATTAACATCCCTTTATAATCATTCAACTTGTTTTAAAAATAAAAATATTTTAAAATAATTCCATTGTCAAAAGAAATAGAAGTTTTACATTAAAAAGTCATATCTCAAATATTTTTGGATATTAAAATCTTTTGATTCTGCTTTAACATTTTTTGCTAAGCACATCACTTCTTTGGATTTTACCTTGTTTACCTTTCACGCTGCATCAAAGAAAGCAATCAATGCATTTTGGTCATAACTGTCCAGAATCTCTAGTAGAAGAGGTACTTTGGTTTTTACATTGGTGCCTTTGAATTTAAACTTATCTATGAAAAGATCCGTAATCATTCCTAGAAAGAAAAATGTTTTTTAATGAAACAGAGTAATTGCTAAATAATGTATTTCCAAGCACCAAAATTCCATTATTTAATATACACAAATCTGTAAGTGTTGATAATTTTTAAAATATTTATTGGGAGGGTTAAGCAAGTTTCAAGATATAAATATTTATCTAATTTTTTTTTTTTTTGAGGCAGGGTCTCACTCTGTAGTTCTGGCTGGCCTGGAACATCATGGTGATGATCCTTCTGGCTCAGCCTCCCGAGTGCTGGGATTACAGGCATGTGCCACCACACCTGGTGCTAATAATACTTTTAACAACTGTTTATAAATTATTAATTCAGACAACAGCTGGCCATTTTTGAATAGCTATTGGTAAATATGACATCACAAGTGGCTATTTTTTCAACAAAGCAGATTCTATTCTTAACAGTTTTGTCTAAATTAAAATATTCTGTATATATGATCATGCTTGGAATGTGACTTGATGGTCAAGAGTCCTGGCTTCAAGGATCTGGCAAATTATTTCACCTTTGTATTTTTCCACATAGGAATAGTTCAAGCTGTCAATCCTTTATCTAAAACTCTTGGTACAAAGTGCACTGCAAAAGTTTTCATATTTTAGGAAGAGAATAAAAGGGAGGTACCACCATTTATGGCATTAACTCAAGGAGTCTGAGTGACAATGTCTTATAATAAAACTAATATTTTTACAACAAAATATATAGGTATTTGCATTAAATAAAATTTAAAAGATTAGAAATAACTTCATGTCAACTTAAGTCAAATTTGTCATTACATTAAACACACTAAGTCAGATTTTGCTGCCAGATGATTTATTAAAAAGCGTTCTGGATTTTGAAATCACTGAGAAGGGGTGGTGGGTCTGCACTACCCATCAACTACATTGTTATAAGGATAAAAGAAATCTTGTGCTTGCTACATAGGAAACATTGTTATATATTGTTACAGTTTGTGAGGAAATCTCTGCATATATAATAAATTCAGTAGACATACTGAAGGATCGCCATGGATCGATAATATCAATTAAAACTGGGTGTTAATCCCAGCAATCTGCAAGGCTGAGGCACAAGAGGATAGCAAGTTTGAGCCCAGTCTGGGCTATTTAGTGAATTAGTTAGACCAGCACTCAAAAAAAAAGGGGAAGAAAAGGGGAATGGGTGCTAGGGGAGGGTGTGGCTCAGTGCAAAGCGTCCCGGTTCAATTCTCAGTAATGGAAAAAAAATAATCAACTACCTGTGGATGAATTGGTATTGTGCAAAAAGCATGTATTTTGAAGTGACAGGTTTCTAGTGCAGGATTTTCATCTAACTAGATATGGGACAACAAATTCTTTAATCTCATATTTAAAGATATAAAAGATGAAGATAACACCACACCATCTACCTTGTGGAGCTGTTATAAGGGTTACATATATCATCTGATTATGAAGATGGTATCAACAGCATGCTGCTAACAAAACCTTTTCTTAGCTGGGTGTGCTGGTACACTCCTATAATCCCAGCTATTCAGGAAGGTGGGGCAGGAGGTTTCCAAGTTTGAGGCCAGCCTGGGCAATTTACCAAGACCTTCTCTCAAAATAAAACAAAAAGACCTAGGAATGTATTTCAGTGGTCCCAATCTCCTTGCTAAAAAAAAAAAATGTCTTTTTCAATCTGTTGCTTCCTCCTCTCTCCCTCCCTCTGTCCTTTCCATCACCTTCCTTGTGCTTTCTCTTTCATCCAATACAATCTGTGAAACACCCAACTTACTACCACCAAAGCCAAACAAGTTTTAAACAATAAACTGACACATATGCAAATATCCTCTATTAAACTTTGACTAAAAATATTAAATGCTGCATCTTTACATTCTACAATAGCAGTAACAGCTGAAAATTTATTTGTTTAAAGTATGTCTAGCCGGGGATTTAGCTCAGTGGTTCTGCTGCCTGCCTTGAAAGCACAAGGTCCTGAGTTCAATCTCTGGAACCAAAAAAAAAGTAAAGTATGTCTAAATGTTGTTTTGTTTGAGACAGGATCTTGCTATGTAGCCCAAGCTTGAAATCATGATTGTCTTTCTGCAGCCTCCATGGTGCTGGGATTACAGGTGTGCGGCACAATGCCCAGCAAACAAAGTGAAATTCTTAATACTTCGTAAGATTTATTCATTTTATACCATATTGTTATATATAAATTCACCTCACTTCTTAAATTTTACTACCATTTTATCAAGTAAAAATACTAAATTTTAAAATAAGCTAGATGGAATACAAAATATTCTGTGCAATAAGTTGGTTGCCATTGGCTCATGACTGATGTAACGTTTGTCTTTCTGCCTAACTTATTTCTTATGATCCCTAGCAAACTGCTAGCTGAAAAGAAATACAGCAAGATATTAGAATAGTCCACTAACCATAGAGTCTTTCAAGATGTGCAGGCTGCTTTTTGTATTCTTCCTGTAGGTGATCAGCCTCTTCCAGAATACTACGGTATTCTGGTATCAGGAAGTTTGTATTTCCTTCATGAACCTGCAATTCCTTTTTAAAATTAAAAAACACTGGTCATTCAAGAGATGCAAATGAAAACAACGCTGAGATTCCACTTCACTCCAGAAAGAATGGCCGCTATCATGAAATCAACCAATAACAAATGCTGGCGGGGCTGTGGAAAAGAGGAACCCTGCTCCACTGCTAGTGGGAGTGTAGACTGATGCAACCACTGTGGAAATCAGTATGGAGATACCTCAAAGAACTAGGACTGGAAGTCCCATTTGACCCCGCTATTCCACTGCTGGGGATCTTCCCCAAAGAATTAAAAGAATCATACCACAGTGATATATGTGCACCCATGTTCATGGCAGCACAGTTTGTAATAGCTAAAACTTGGGAACACCCCAAATGCCCATCAACTGGAGACTGGATAAAGAAAATGTGGGGTTTTTTTTATAAAATGGAGTACTACTCAGCCATAAAAAATGAGAAATTAGAGACATTTATAGCTAAGTGGATGCACATTGAGGCAATACTCTTAAGGGAAATAAATAGGACACACATGTATAAATACCGAATAGTTTCTCTGGTGTGAGAAACTGAAAGTGTAAATAAGGACTAAATGTATAATAGGTAATGTGAAATAGGAAGAAAAGGGTCAAAGGGGAAGGAAGTGTGAGGGCTAGAGGAAAGGATAGAAGGGAATGGAATTAATATGAGAAAATGGAAAAATAGGAACAAAATCGTTGTAAATAGGGAGGAATGGAGGGGTTGAAGGGAGGGCTGGGCAAGGGTGAAAAATAACCAAGAGAGACTATGTAAAGGTGCAAATTTCCAATGATGAATGTCATTATATTGTATACCTAAAATGTACCAATGATTAGAATGAATAATCGAAAATGTAAAATAAGAAGAAAAGGTCCAAAGGGGTAGGGGTAGTGGGAGGGGCATGGAAAAGGAAAGAAGGGAAAGGAAAAATGATGAGAAATGGAAAAAATGGAAATAAAGTCTTTGTAAATAGGGAAGGGTGGAGGGGGTGAAGGGAGGGCTAGGAATAGGGAAAACATAAGAACCAAGATGCATTATGTAAAGGTATAATTCCCAATGAGAAATGTAATTGTGTTGTATACCTACAATGTACCAATAAAAGAATTTAATACAAAAAAATAAAATTAGAAAACAGAAGTACCTTAACGTTCACAATTCAGGACACTGCAACGTGAAAGTATAATTTTAGAAATCTCATTACTTAAAATAATGATCATGAATCCATGACACATAAACTTACTTTTAAAGCATCAATTAGCTGCACTTTCTTAGCCAAAAGCAATTGGTATTCCAGCTTTGGGTGGATTAGTTTTAAAGTGTGTTTGACTGATACTTCATTTATCTCTAAAAGAAGTTGGTTAGACACAATTAGATAAATCACTTCCACCAGAAACATTATTATTATAACAACTACTACAAAAACTAAAAAAGAATGATTAATTTTTCATACCGTATAATATGTTGAGGTTGATTTTCCTTTTTGTGGCTTCTTTAGAAAGCACATCTTTTAGAATAGAAATTGTAGAAATGTTGTCAGATTTAAAAACTCCTTCTCCTTTTCTACAAAATTAATATATTTTGAAAAGACAAGCTGTAGAAGGAACTGTACCTAGAAATATATATTTTATGACTAGTACTCAGTATTTAGTACTTGATTTTTTAAAGCAAAACATTTATCAGTCCATTTTAGATATATATAACAACATTCATCATAGGGAATTTGTACCTGTACATGATAAATCTTGCTTCTTTTCCCATTTTCCCCTTCTTCCCTTCCTTATTTACAACAGCTTTGTTTCCATTTTTTTCCTTCTATCCTTTTTTCTTGTCCTTTCTTTCCTTTCCTTCTCCCCCTTTACTAGTTCCCATTCTAATTTGAACATTTTCTTCCCATTTCCCAATATCTATTCTACATTTTGGTCCTTATTTCTACTTTTGGTTTCTCACATGAGAGAAACAATGTGGTATTTAAACATATGTATCTGATTTATTTCACTTAAGAGTATGGTCTCAAGGTGCATCCATTTAGTTAGAAAGATCTCAGGATTATCCTTTATGGCAGAGGAGTACTCCACTGTACAAAAAAACTCCATATCATTTTTATCCATTTGTCAGTTGATGGGCATTTAGGCTGTATTACAAAATTTAGCTATTAGATACTGTCCCACTATACACATAGATGTCCATACATCACTGTGGTGTGATATTTTAATTCTTTTGGGAAGATACCAAGAAGGGGAATAGCTGGGTCTACTGAAACCTCTAGTTTTAGTTTTTTGAGGAATTTCCACACTGATTTCCACAATAGCTGCACTAGTCTACACTCCCATCAATGGTGGAGAAGGGTTCCTTTTTCCTCACAGCCCTGCCAGCATTTATTATTGGTTAATTGCTTAATAGCCATTCTTTCTAGAGTGAGGTGAAATTTCAGCATTAATTTGCATCTCTTGAATGACCAGTGATGTTGAACATTTTTTCATATATTTATTTGCTTTTTCTATTTTGTAATCTGAGAAGCGTTTCTTCATTTCAGATGCACATTTCTGTACCAGGTCTTTAAATTTGGGGGGGTCTGATTTTTTTTGAGTTCTTTATATATTCTAGATTATAATCCTTTGAGGAACAACTGCCAAAAATTTTTCCCCACACTGTGGGTTGTCTCTTCACTCTGTTGGTGATTTCTCTTGCTGTGCAAAAGCTTTTTAATAAGATGAGATCCTAGTTGTTGATTCTTTGTGATAGTTCCTGTGCGATCAGGGCTTTGTTCATAAAGTCTTTGCCTAACCAGTGTCTTGGAGAGTTTTACCTGTTCTATCTTCCAGCAGATTTAGTGTTTCTGTTATAATATTTAGAACTTTGATCAATTTTTATTTTTGTTTGGTGCATGGTGAAAGATACTTTTAATCTTTGGCAAGTGGAAACCCAGTTTTCCAGCACCCTTTATTAAAAAGGCTCTTTCTTTCAGTGAAGGTGTTTGGTTCCTTTGTCAAAAATAATATAGCTGAGTATGTCTGGAGTTTTTTCTACATCTTCTAATCTGTCCCTTTGATTCTCAGGTCTATTTTTTGTTGTTATTGTTTCTGTTTGTGCCAGTACCATGTTCTTTCTATCACAGTAGCTCTGTAGTATAATTTCAAGTCAGGGATTGTGATGTCCCTTGTCTTGCCTTTGTTGCCCAGAATTGCCTTTACTATTCTAGGTCTCTGGTTCCAAAAGAATTTCAGGAATGTTTTCTCTAATTCTGTGAGATAGACTGTAGGGATTCTGATCAGGGTTGCATTAAATCTGTGTAAGAATTTTGGAAGTACAGCCATTATCACTATATTAGTTCTTCTTACCCAAGAACAAGGGATATCTTTCCATTTTGTGATATCCTTTTTGATAGCCTTTTTCAGAGTACTGTAGTTTTCAATGTAGAGGTCTTTTACTTCCTTCATTAGATTGAGTCCTAGGTGTTTTTTTGTTTTTTTGGATGTTGTTGTGAAAGGTGTTGTTTCCCTAATTTCTCTCTCAGTGGGTTTGTTATTTCTGTATAGGAAGGCTCTTGATATTCTGAGTGCTGACTTTGTATCTAGCTACTGAATTTGGTTATCAAATCTAAAAGTCTTTTTGGTGCAGTTTTTGAGACTTTGATGTAGAGTATCATGTCATCTATAATTAATGATAATTTAACTTCTTCCTTTCATATCCTTATTCCTTTTATTTCTTTCTCTTGTCTAATTATTCTGGCTAATGTTTCTAGAACTATATTGAATAAGAGTGGTGATAGTAGACATCCTTCCCTTGTTCCTGTTTTTAGAGTGAAAGCTTTCAGCTTTTGTCCATTTAGTATGAGATTGGCTGTTGGTTTGTCAGAGATGGCTTTTATCAGATTGAGATAAATACCATGGATTCCAGTTTTCTGGGAGGTATTTATCATGAATGGGTGTTGAACTTTATCAAACACTTTTTCTGCAGCTATTGAAATGATCACATGGTTTTGTCCTTGGCTCCATTAATACGGTAGATTACATTTATTGACTTGCATATGTTGAACCATTCCTGCATCCCTGGGATGAATCCTACTTGGATGTATAATCCTCATGGTGTATAATCTTCTTGATGATTTGCTGCATTCTGTTTGCCAATATCTTATTGAGGATTTTTGTATCCACATGTTATAGATATTGGCCTGTAGTTCTCTTTTTTGGTTGGATCCTTCTCTGGTTTTGGTACCAGAGTAATTCTTGCTTCCAGGAATGAACTGAGAATATTGTTTCTCTTTCAATTTTATTAAAGAGTTTGAGAAGTAGTGGCATTAGGTCTTCTCTAAATTTCTTGTACAATTCAGCAGTGAATGTGTCAGTTTGGCAGATTTTTAATTACATCTTCAATTTCACTGACTGATATTGGTTTACTTAGAATTTTAGTATATTGATTCATCTCTGGTAGTTCATACATATACACAGGAATTTGTCCATTTCTTCTATGTTTTCCATCTTATTAGAATACAAGTCCTCAAAGTAGGTATTCATGATCTTTGAGATTTCTGCAAGATCTGCTGTGATTTCACTCTTTTCATTCCTAATTGCATGGATTTCAGTCTTGCCCTTTTTTGATAAGGTTGGCTAAGGGTTGTCAATTTTATTTAATCTTTCGAAGAACCAATTATTTGATTCATTGATTCTTTGTATTGTTTTATTACTCTCAATTGCATTAATTTCTGCTCTGATCATCATAATTTCCTCCCTCAAATGAGCTTTGTGCTTGACGTGCTCATCTTTAGCTTGAGGTTCAACATTAGGTTATTTGAGCTCGCTCTGTTTCCTGATATGGATATTCACTGCTGTAAATTTGTCTCATAGGACTGCTTGCATTACATCCTATAAGTTCTGGTATGTTATACTGGCATTATCATTTAATTGTAGAAACTGTCTAATCTCTTCTTTAATTCTGTGACCCACTCGTTGTTCAGGACAGTGTTATTTAATCTCAATGTGTTTATAAAGTTCTTGGGGTTTCTTTTGTCAATGATTTCCAGTTTCATTGCACTATGGTCTGATAATATGCATGGGATAATTTCAATTCCTTTCCATTTACTAAAGCATGTTCTATGAGCTAGTATGTGGTCTATTTTGAGAATATCCCATGTGTAGCTGAGAAGAATGTGTATTCTGACATTGTGGGGTGGAACACTCTGTAGACATCTGCTAAGTCCATTTTTTCACAAGTTTTTTCAGTTTTAATATTTCAATGTTGGTTTTTTGTCTAGTTGATCTATTTGTCATAGTGGGGTATTGGGGTCCCCCATTACAATTAGTGTTTATTTGATTTTTCATATGTTAATATTTGTTTTATTTTATTTTTTTGTTTATTTTATTGGTTTATTTTGTTGTTATCATTTCCTCTTCGATTGTTCCCTTTACAAGGATGTAGTGAACTTCTTTGTCTCTCTTAATGAGTCTTGGCTTGAAATCCACTTTGTCTACAATCAGAATAGTTACCCCTGCTTTTTTCTGGGTTCCTGTCACATGGAATATTTGTTTTCCATCCTCTGACTTTTGCAGAGGACTGTGATATTGATTATGCCCAAGGCAGGCTATAAAGAGTTAACCCCACAACTGGATTTTTTATAGAAGTGTCCGGCTGAAGCCTACTTGCTGAGAGTAACTAGCACCAAAATTCGGTTCCCACAACCGAAACCTTCAGACTAGAAGGACAATGTTCTAATTACAACCATATATTTTGTCTATTCTGTTCCTAATTTGAGAATGCTTTGTCTTGTCCTTTATGAGCCTTGTTTACATTAATTTCCATAGAAACCACACTTAACCTTTACCCCAACTGATTGCCAATAAAAGTCAGTGCCTGGAACTGGCCAGCGCCTTTGGTGGTTACACCACCATTAGTCATCCTGGCACCCCACTTTCTTAGTTCTGTCTCTTAGTGTATTTTTTTCTCAGGCCTGCATCATATACTGGGCAGGTGGGTACTAGAACCTGACTATAGGGGTCTCCAGCAGACTTTCAGTCTATCTATGTCTTTTTGAATTAAATGTGTTTCTTGTATGCAACATATTGTTGGATCTTGCTTCTTGATCCATTCTGCCCTTCTATTTCTTTTGATTAGTGAATTGAGACCATTAACATTAATGGTTATAACTGGTATGTACTGACTTATCCTTGTCATGTTATTTTCCTGTTGTTGGCTCCCTTTTTTTCTTCTGTTTAATTTTTTTTACCTTGCCTGGTGGATTCATTCTTTTGGGATTCATGGAGTTGTAATCCTTGTTATATTTTTCTAAAATATCCTTCAGAACACTTTCAAGTGCTAGTTTGATGTTCATGAATTTCCTAAGGTGCTCTTTGTCACGGAAGAAACTTAATTCTTCATCAATTTTCAAAGATAGTTTTGTGGGGTACATCAATCTGGGTTGGAGGTTGTTTTCTTTTAGGGCTTGAAATACTTCACTCCATCCTCTCCTTGATTTGAGGGTTTGTGTTGAGAAGTCTGCTGTGAATCTTGACTATTACATGCCTTGGTTTAGATTTTTTTTTATTATCATGTCTAATTGGAGTTCTACATGCCTCACTTATCTATATGTCAAATTCATTTTCCCTATTTGGGAATTTTTTTGCCATTACTTCGGTGAATAGATTTTTTTTATGTCATTTGTGCTATCTCCTGCTTTTTCATTGACTCTGATCAATCTTATGTTATTCTTCTTTGCATCATCCACCAGTGGCTGGATTGATTTTTCATGGTCCCTTGCTATTTTTAAGAAATCTTTCTTTTCATGATCACTAACCACAATCCTGTTTTCTATATCTGATATTCTGTTCTTACACTGGCTCACTGTGCTGTGTATACTTTCAGTGGAATTTTTAATCTCCTGGATATGTTTGAATCTGTTTCATGGATTCCACTTCTTTCCTATGCTGGGTGTTCACGGTTACCATCATTTTCCTAAACTCCTTTTTTTTTTCCTGGTTTACTTTTTCTTTGGTACCAGGGATTGAACTTGGGACCTTGCGCTTATGCGGCAGGCGGGAGAACCACTGAGCTAAATCCCCTGCCCCTCCTTTTTTTTTTTTTTTTTAAATCTGTATCTGCTCTAGAGTCACTAAGCATGTCTTTCATTATAATCATCATCTCTGTACTTATCTGAGAAATTATTTCTGATTTGATTTTTTCTAAAGCCTCATTCATCTGCTTTGCTTCTTCTGCTGTTACCTCTTCAGGGAATCCAGGTAGACAGCTTTTGGATTGTTCCACCTCATTGGCCCCCGGATTTGCCTTTGGTGAGCTGAAAGTCTAGAGCTGCATCTTAAGTGTCTTATTTTAGAACTCACTTGATTTTAAGTCTCTTTGAATGTCATTCATATGAAGCATACTTAAATGTGTAATCTTTTACTACTGTATTAATTCAGCTTTTAACTATACTGATAAAACTAAAGATGCTAGATATATAGCTCATAAAAATATCACAATTTAAATAAGTACTTCATCATTTAAAAAGTTTTTTCTGGGCCAGGGATTTAGTTCAGTGGTGCTGCCACCTGCCTTGCAAGCGCAAGGTCCCGAGTTCGATCCCCAGTACCAAAAAAAAAAAAGTTTTTTCTTCATTATTATTAGTATTTTCAATAGTTAATCTCTTATGTAAAGAATGCATTTGTAATTGCTTACTTACAGATACAGCTATGTTTTTTCTTGATGTAATCACACCAATGACAACATGACTAATGCTTCATCCTTGAAAGAAATCTGATATCAAACTTGAGTGACATCTGTTGTTCTTCCATACCTAGCATCCATTCCCACTGCTTATGGCCACAGGACCTTTATATTTCTTTAAGAAACCCTCTTTTTCCTCTCTCTCCCTTCTCATCTATATAATTTCAATGGCACTGGCCTCAATCCATTTCTGGGACTTCAAGAAGAACCATTTCACAGTATATTCCATATACCTGACCACAGTGGTTCAAGGATTGACAAAGATACCCAACCCTGGTACTTTTAATGGAACTAGTATGAAAGAGAGGCTCTATGGCAGCTGAAAGATAAAAACTAGATTTTAGGAGCTATATGGTCACTACTATGCCACTATGTGGTAAAGCCAAGGAAAGACAAAAACAAAATCAAAATTGAGCAATAGAAGGGTAAAATCTTGATGACATCAGTTAAGCCACTGATCAAGTTGTATCTGGGGCAAATTACTACTAGACTTCTTAAGTTATCTGAGCAAATAAATTTCTTTTATTTGGCCTGTGTTTGGTTTCTTTTTAAATGATCCAAAAAAAATCTCCTAATTAATACATACCATTTTTCATAAATCCCATGTTGCCTTTTCACTTGGTTTTCATAGAAATATGCACATTAATCATTTATATTGATCAGCTGTAGGAAAATATTGCTTTTTCTAAAAAGATAAATAATACTCCTTTATTATATTGATCTCAACTATGTTTTCAAAATCATGACATTTCTACTAGTCTTTCATCTTAACAGAAGGCACTATGAAATGTCACAATGTCAGGCACTGTGAAATGACTAACTTGGTTCATCTTCTTTAAATTGTCACAATTTAATGAAGTGAGTGCTACTATTTCCATTCCTCAGAAAAGAAAACTAAAGCTCAGAGATAAGCAACCTTGGTCACACAGCCAATGAGTCGCAGAGCCATGACTCAAACCTAATTATGGATGTTTCCAAAACACATGCTTCTATACTACCTTCAATTACATGTATTTTATTCAGAAACTTGAAAGACACATGTTGAACACCTACTGTATGCAAAGCCATGTGTTAGATTCTTGGAGGCTATATACAAAGATGATTTTAAAAAACAGACTATGTCTATTAGGATACAGTCTACTATAAAACTAAATCTTATATAAAAATTATTATATCCTCGAAGCAAATATCAATAAATACGAAAGACAGGTAAAAATAAAATACTATGAGGGAACTAGGGGTGTGGGTCAGTGGTAAAATGCTGGCTTTGGGTTTGATCCCTAGATTCAAGAAGGAGGGAAAAAAGCTATAGGAACAGAGAAGAGAATCAAAGAAAGCTTCAGTAAAGGATGTTAGGTTCGACCTTGAAGGATTGTTTTGATGGTTAAGAAAAGAATAAAGAGACAGAGTGGTAAAGAGAAAAGGTATGCTGGGCCAGGGATTTAGCTCAGTGGTTTCGCTGCCTGTTGTGCAAGTGCAAGGACCCGAGTTCGATCCCCAGTACCAAAAAAAAAGAGAGAGAGAAGGTATGCTATTATAAAAATATATAATATGGCAGAGGCATGTTGAATTGTCTGCTATGATTAACTCTTGAGATTCATGTGGTGCTTCACAACAGAATTAATTATACGTTTAGACACAGAGGAACTTCCTGGAGAATACAGTAAACAGCTCTACAGAACTGATGCAAAACCAGTTAGACTTCTTGGTCTCAAATGGCTTCATTCTGAAGCAAAACTATGTGTTCACTGCTGCTTCCAGAAGTTAGCATGGTAAAGTCTCAACTAGGAAGTAGGAAGTAGAATATCTCAATCATTGGCTTAGGGAAAGAATGCATGCAGCCTAAAGAGGATAAGAAACTCTCCCTCACTCCCAAACAAAACAAAGCCAGACCCACAACAACATGGAGATGTGAGAAAGAATAAGAAGGCAAAGACCCTAAAGAAAAAGAAGGTCCAAGTTCAAAGAGCATATGTAGAGACTTTAGCTTTATCTAAGAAGAAAGCCATTTAACAATCAGAGGAAAAATGAAAGGGAAAAGCTAAGCTTCTACAGAACTGAAAAACTGGAAGTTATGGGAGATGAGTGAGAAGTGCAGTGATGGGGACAGGAGTGCCAGCAGGAGCTTGAGAAGAGTGTAAAGAATCTGACCACTCCACAATGTTAACATGACAGGTTCACAAAGCTTGCAGCTCTAAGCCCTGAAGTTCTAAGCCATTTCATATTTTTGCATAAAGAAATTCAACTGGAATTTTTATGGGAATGAGGATAAATATTCAAATCAATTTTGGAAGGTCTGTGTTATGGCTTATATCTAGATGTCCCCCTAAAGCCTCATGCAGTCATAGGTGGGGCATTTTCAGAGGTGGCTGGATCTAAAGTATGTAATGATGGGATTAAGTGTGTAATGCTGGGATCAAGGGTGTGTGATTACTAAATTAGTTCGCTGATTGGTTTGGCATAGTTCTGGGAGTGGATAATGGAAAAGCCCACCCTAGGTGTGAGTGCTACCTTCCCCAAGAGCAGATGGCCTGGATACAATATAAGGGACAGAAAGGAAGCTACTGTAATGCCTTGCTGCTTGTTGCCTTGCTGCCTTCTGCCTGCCATGAACTGTTCCTCCTCTGCGATGCCCCTCTGCCATGATACCCTGCCTTAGCTAGCCAACTATGGATTGAAACCTCTACCTTTATTTGTGAGCCAAATAAATCTTTCCTCCTTTAACTCTGGGTGTTGGGTATTTTGTCTCAGCAATGAGAAAAGTAACTAAGACAGACTGCCATCTCTACAGTGTCTTCATATTGATGACTACAGAATATATTCCTCCATTTAATCATCTTTCACAGTAATAAAATTGTATAGTTTTCTTCATGTAGGATCTGCATATTTCTAATTAAGAGTATTCCTACACATTTTATGTGGACATTGTGTTATTGTTATTGCTACTCCTCAGATCTTTTAAAACTATTTGTAACTGGTTATTGTTATTGTGGAGAATTTAGGAAAGGCATTGATCTTTACATATTCATCTTTATTAACTACTTTTCTAAATTCATTAATTCTATCTGTTTTCCAATTGATTCTCTTGAACAGTGTAAGTTTTCAATCATATTATCTAGAGCTTATTCCTACCTTAAAACAAATGAGAACTTAGATACACCACTTCCATATGACAACACTTGTCAGCAAGTAATAAGTGTAATTTACCTGTAGGTGCTTTCAAGTTGTGTATCCAGGAAAGTGTTCTGAAAGTAAAATGTTATACATTCTCCTGCTGGAGGTTTTTCAGGGACTTCAGGAAGGCAGAAAACCACCCAAGAGTGAACTTCAGCAAAACTGAACTGACCTGTGAGAGTCAGTATATTCATGGGTCTGTAATTTAACAGTAGGGCCATACATTTGTGGATGAGAATATATAAAAGTATTACATGTGCACATTTTCAAGCAGAGTTTTACAACAGTAGCTAAACAAATCCTTTTTAAAAATTTAAATTTTCTTGGATGAATCTTACACATCAAATAAATAAATATTTTAATTTCATGGAAAAAAATGAATGCTTATTTATACCTACCCCTGAACTAGATATCTGAATATTTAGCTAAATAATACATTGGTTTTAGCTAAGTAATACATTGCATTATAACATGCTTTATAAATAAATTTGAGTGTACTCAGCAGATTCCATTTTTTCAACAGTTCATCTAGTACTTCTACTAGATCCACTACAAAAGATGTATGAATCTTCCTAGAGAAAGCATCAGCATTATGTGAAAGCAGAGTTGGGCTTTTAGTAAGACAGGCATGAATCTGAAACCCTGCTCTTTCTTTACTATGTGCCATAGGGTAAGTTAGAGGAAACAGTACTTCCTTCCTTGCAGGATATAAAATAATATTTTCTATCTTGCAAAAACATATAATAAAGGAATGGGGGGGATAAAAAAATGAGTACATTTAAAATAAATCAAATGGATAATTATAGAGTTGCAAAATACAAAGTACATGAAATGAAAAGTTCAGAAGAAACCTTTGAGATAATCAAGACCAGTCCTCTCATTTACAGATGACAAACCTAAATTCTGCAGAGATTAAGTTATTTCCCCAAATCACATAGGGATGTACTATAATCTAAGTCTCTTGTTTCCAGTTTGTTGTTCCTTCTAACACACCATGCTGTACCCATTTATTCTAACTTTGACTATTAAGCATGAAGACACCCCCAGACAAATCTATTCTCTGTAATATCTTCCAGACATCTTCCTTAGGAATGTTCCTTCTTACATCTTAAATTACAAGGTGCAATAGAAAGAAAATGGGCTTTGACCTCAAATCATAGCTTTGGTCCTTTTATTAGAAAGTTACTTTTCTAAGTCTCCATTTCTCATCTGTAAAATTGAGCCATGACCTGTCTGGCTATAAGAATTTAATGATAATACATAAAGACCTAACAATGCATGACACAGAGGAAATATTCCATAATTGTTCATCTCATTGCTTTCTCTTTCATTTTAGCCTATGCTCTTTTGCCCTGAAACATGATAAACAGGAGATGCTTAAATTGGAATGGAAGTCAGAAAAAATAAGAACTATGACAATCAACTGCTCTTCTGGTATTCCCTGAAGTGAAACAAAAAGAAAATGTAACATTTGAGGCTAATAACATAAAGCCTTAGTCACAAAGAACTGTACAATCAAAATGCTAAACAGTATTTGCTCACAATGGTGTTTGAGAAAACTGCTACTCTAATGATGTCAAAATGGTTATATGAGAGAAACAGGAAAGTCTAATTTGACAGCTTCTAAAATAAGACAGTCTTACACTTACTAGAAATGTTAAGCCCATAGATAAGTATTAAACCCACAAGTTGAAATAACTATTTTAAAATTCAGAAACAGTTACCAGAATTTATACTACAAAAATAAAACACAGAATAGCTGGCATCATGGCACACTCTTGTAACCCTAGCACTCAAAAAGCTGAGGCAGGAGTGCCACATGCTCAAGGCCAGCATGGGCTACAGAGTGAGCTCAAGACCAGCCTCAACTACATAGTGAGACCCTGTGTCAAAAAACCAGTAAATAAATCAAATACAGTTTATCTGAATAGTGTAGTAATTTAAATGTAAACTGCTCTCGTTCAATCCCTGGTACAAAAAAAGAGTAAACTGCTCTCTCCTTTGTCCTACCTGTTATGATCAATAAAATGAGTTCTCTGATGAAGTGAAAGAGGTTTGATGTCATACTGGTGGACCTGACAGATTTTGGGTTGAACTCTTGGAGTCACATATGCTTGAAGTGTGCCATACTGGCCTTCAATTGAGCGAATCTGGTGCAAAATAAAAGAGAAGAAAAATAAGAATAATTTGTAGCATAAACACGTTTAAATATTCAACATAAGTTACAAAGTAATGACTTAATTCCTTCTATATTATTTTGAGGGGTATAATGGCATTCTGTTAAATACTTTTTGACACTTGAGTAAGAAAAAATACTATTTTGACAGTCAACAGTAAAATTAATCATTAAGTTATCTCCACCACATATTCTCAGTTGATGTTTCTATGTTTAACAATCCCTGGCTATTCTAAGACAAAACATGTATTCTCACATACTACTCTATCACATCTAAGAAGATAGGTATATATTTTACAAAAAATGTTTAAAATCTAGATTTTTTTGTTGAACAGATTCAAGTGAGTTTTTAAAATAACTAAAACTCATAAAATACTTCATTTTCTCAGAAACAAGGACTCTACCCATAAAGATATTGTTATAAAAATCTATTGACTGCTAGATCCCACAGGGATGTTTCTTTCCAAAGTTTTCATTATGGTTTACATCTAAGATGCCCCCCAAAGCCTCATGGGCTCATAGGCACGGCGTCGGGGAGGTGATTGATCATGGGGTGAGATATTCATCATTAGATTAGTCCACTGATGAGTTTTTGGTTTTTTTGTTGTTGTTTTGGACACAGGGTCTGACTATGTAATACGGGCTATGCTTCAACTTCCAGTGATCCTTTTGCCTCAGCCTCCAGGGTGCTCAGATTATAGGCATGCCTCACCACACCCCATCCACTGATGAGTTTACATAGTTAAATCTGATGTTGAGTGGTGAAGCCTGGCTGGAGGAAAAGGTGAGTCATTGGTCTGTAAGGGTTTATCTCCCTCCAGCCTCCTTTGTGTTTTTTTTCTGCTGTTGTTTTTTTAAAAAAACAGAGTCTCACCTTGTAGTTTAGGCTGGCCTTGAACTTGGGGCAGTACCCCTGGTTCAACCTCCTGAATGCTGAGATCACAGGTGTGCAGCACCAAGCCATTGCTCCCTTCTCCTGATGGGTTTTTGATTCCCACCGCCATGCCAGGAAGCACTTCTCTGCCAGGCCTCTCTGCCATGCTGCCCTGCCTTAAGCCAGCTAACTATAGACTGAAACTTCTACAAGCTGTGAGCCTAAATAAACCTCTCTTTTAATTTGTGGGTGTCACTGTGTCTCAGCCACAACAAAAGCAGCTAAGACACCTTTCTTCATCTCAAGATAGGGATTTTATCTTCATTTTGTGTTTTTCTGGAATCTCTACATGCTAAAAGGTACAGTACACTGTAGATCCAACTTATGCTCTATAGTAACTGTGTAATATCCCCTGGCATGGGGAGTTATTTATTCAGTCATTTAATCTTTTTGAGTAGTCCCTTTAGCTCCACTTTACTCCCTAACAAGCAATGCTGCAATTAACTATATACACTTCTCCATGTATATTACTATGACTTTCTTGCTATTAAATAGACACTCCTAAATGGCCTTTTACTCATCTCTGTTGCCTAGTGATATTGTTACTTAATATTTTGTGACTTTGTTAGATAAGCAAAAATTGCTTTATATTGTTTTAATTTGAATTTCCCTAATAATAAAGTAGAACTTTTTGTTTGGTAGCTATTTTGACTCCCTCTTTTTTTTGCCTATCTCCAAATACTATGCTTTTTTTTTTTTAGACAAGTTCTCATTATGTATTCCAGGTTGGTCTTGAACTCACTATGGAGCCCAAGCTGGCCTCAAACTCAAAGTGATCTTCCTGCCTCCGCCCCCAGAGTGCTGGGATTATAGGCACACACCACCACACCGTGGTTTGAATTGCCTAGCTGTATGCCTTGCCTATTTTCCTTCTTCAGTCGCCTTCTTTATAACAGTTTATAGGTTGTCTTTATATTTCATTGGTATTTTCTTCTTTTTTTAACAACCAAATACTTAACTCATTAAATTTATTTATTATATATGACATAAGACTTCACTAGGGTTGGGGTGAAGTACAGTGGTAAAACACTTGCCTAGCATGCAAGAGGCCCTGGGTTGGGTCTCCTAGTATGGGGTGGGGAGGTATGAATGAATCAATTTATTTTCTTTCAGATGAATACCAGTTGTTCTAATGCCAATTTTGAAACAGAAATAGCAATTTAATAGAATTTTTCCTTAAATAGATATGCATTGAGTTCCCATAAAGGTGTGCTGGGCTCTATTTCTATATGCAATTCTCTTGCAGGGCTTATTTATTTAAACTTGGAAATACTCTCCCAGGTTTTTTGGTTTGTTTTTCTTTGAGAGGGGATTTCACTGTTGTTGACTAGGTTGGTGCTGAACTTGTGGGCTCAAGTGATCTTCCTAACTCAGCCTCCTGAGCAGCCAACAGATGTGTGCCACCACATCCAGCTTCTCCATTATTTTAATTATAGTGGTTTTATAGTATATTTTATCATATGGCAAGGCAAGTTCCATCTCACTTCTTGCTTTTCATAATTTTACTGTCTCTTTTCAAGCATTTATTTTTTCCTCTGAACTTTTAAATCTGTTGATTTTTTAAAATTTTTAAGCATGCTTTCGAGTTTATTGGCATAACTTTGCTCAGAGACATATAATATTAAATATTTAATTAAAATATGCTTAAGTATATTCATTTATAGTTTCTTCTCAGTTTTCAAATTTCCTGTCACAATGTATGAAAGGGAACTTAGACACATCAAATGAGTTGTTTAGGGAAAAAAATATATTTAACTGGAACTTCCTTAGCCAAGTATGAAAAAAGGTATTGTGCAGCAGCATTTCTCCTGAAAAAACACACTTTGAATTTCAAAACATCAGCAACATCAGGAAAAAAGTTTTAGATCAGAGTATTATCAAAACTAAATATTTTTAATGTTTTAAATATCATACTACTTGGTTTTAAATATCACATTATTTGGTTTTAAATATCACTACTACTTGGTTTTTCTATGCTCAATAGAATTATAAGATTATGTTATTAAACTGCTAAAGAAAACTTTAAATGAAACCACTGGAAAATAATCAGTGAAATCTAGAGGGGAAATGCCCACATAAACTCAATAACTTTTATTTAGACAATGACTGGCTTAATTTATAAAAAAAATTAGAATTTGAACACTAAATGATAATAAGGAACTACCATTATTTTTAGGTTTGATAACAATATTGTAGTTATGTTTTAAAAAGAGTACTTATCTTTTAGACATACAAACCAAAATATTTACAAATGAAATTATATATATCTTATCTTTGTTTCAAAATGATCCAGGGTGTGATAGTATAAAGAACATTGTGGATTGCATGAGTTGATCACTGCTGAAGCTGATCATAAATACATGAGGATTCATTACATATATATATTTTTTATTTATTACAAAATTACAAAAAAATTCCAGTTAATGGAAACTTTAAGATCAATAGTTTTAGAGAAGATAACTGACTGAGCGCTAATAGAAGAGATAGTGGTTTGAGCTAAATGAAAACCCACTTGTCATTTTTTTTTTTTTTTTTTTTTTGAGACAGGGTCTCACTATGTAGAGTTCAGGGTGGCCTTGAACTCACTATGTAACCCAGGCTGGCCTGGAACTCATGGCAGTCCACCTGCCTCATCCTCCAAAGTGCTGGGACTACAGGCCTGTACCACCACACCCCGCTTCACTTGTCATTTTAAAGCTATTACTCCAAAATTCTTCATTTCAGAGAAATTTAGTGCAAAGAAATGACATCACACTTTATAAGGTATATCAAAGGGAGTAGGAGGAGGGGGAGAAAGTTCAAACATTCACATAAAGGTAATTTCTAATGATGTAGGAGAATATCCATGTTCTTTTTTTTTGGCACCAGGGATTGAACTCAGGAACTTGTGCTTGTGAGGTAGGTGAGGTGTCACTGAGCTAAATCTCGGCCCCATAAAGGTAATTTCTAACAAAGCTTTTACCTTGAGCTCCAGTCTTGTGGTATTTGCCTGGCACCGGTAAGTGGCAAGAAGAAAGTTGTCGTTTGACTAGGAAGAATCCAAAATTGAGGAAAGGTATGAATACACGTTTTTAACAATAAAAAATCATCAATAATAAAAATGTTTACCATTTCTTTGAATACCTATCATTAACATATTCTTGTTTATTCCTATAAGTAACCCTACATACTAAGTTTCACTTAAGTCTTTCAGACGAAGAAACTGAGGTATGAGGAATTACATAAATTTCTCCAAAGCCAGTGAAAAGAATGGAAATGAAACTTGTATCTTTAAGATCCTAAAGCTCATGCTCTTTCCATCTTGAGTCTCCAAAACATCTGTAAACTTTAAGAGTTCTTCTAAAAATCTGTTAATGCAAATGCCAAATGTTTACATTATAAAGGTATGCATATCAATGTTTGATGCTAAATGTCTTTGATTTTCACAAACACTTATAGAGGAAAGAGAAATAGCCAATCTCTGACTTCTAGCAAATAGCACAGTGCCTAGCGTGGTACTGAGGCACTCAATACATGCATGTTTACTGAGTTAACCTGGAGAGGTTCATTCAAATACTATAGCTGCTTGAAACTGAATAGTAAACTACTAAGAATAGAAAAAAATATATCTAGAGATACAAATTCAAAACTAGACAAAGCAATATGAAACATTTTGTAAGTAATTTTCATGTATGTGCTACTCCCCTATTTTTAATCACCAAAAGAAATAAAAAGGATGCTGGTATCAAAAAGAAAACTCAAAATTTTTAATATCAAATTATTTAAACTTAGTAAACAGGGATGATGGATCAATTTTAAAGTAAATATTCTTGTGTAATAAAAAAACAAACGTTACATAAAGTATTTATAAGTAAAGTGATACAGATTAAAAGAGACAAAATATCTGTGGCTAGATTTAGAAGCAGGAAAAGGGAGAGTGAAAACCCTACATTGAAAATTACTGAAGCCTGTATTCGTCTTTCTACTTTGTATATATTTGAAATCTCCATAATGTTTCCTGCTTTAAAAAGCCATTGTCCTAGAAAACAACTTTAAATGTTTCAAAGAATTCTGCAGTGATGTAAATGTTAATTTTTCACAGTAACTAAGAAATCAAAGATTTGTTTATGGTATGATTTGTGTTTGTTTTGTTTTGTTTTTGGTACCAGGGATCGAACTTGGGACCTTCCACTTGTGAGGCAGGTGATGGAACCACTGAGCTAAATCCCCAGCCCCTTGTTTATGGTTTGATTTTTTAAATGATCATAAAATTACAGAACCTTTATGTTTTACTCTCAAACAAGGATGCAAAACTATAACGTCTTTTCTCTTAAGGAAAAGAAAATGCTTACCATAAGATTAGCAACTTCTTTCTTCATCCATTCTTTTATTCCTACATTTTTAAAAAACGTCTGTAACTACCCACCAACTCCAGTCACCATCTCCCTTCCTGGTTTTTCCAAAGCAGCTAATTCTAACTTTATCTTTTCCATAACTTCTCTGCAGAAGCCAGGCTTTGCTCTATTTCTGAGCAGAAGGAAGTGATATAGTAAAAGAAAGTCCAAAAATAATGACATGATCTCATAGGTACTTTGCACATAAGGGCTCAATAAATGCCTGCCTAGTGTAGCAAAGGTTAAGCATTTAACATCTCAGAAAGAGTAGGGTGGGCAGGAAGATGGGGGTGGGGGGTCAATCATGTTCAAATGCAGGATATGTGAAACTATAGCTCTTTCAAGAATTTGAGGGGGGTGGTGGTGGTGGTAATTGGGATTGAATCCAGGAACTTCACAGTGAGCTACATCCCCAACCCTTTATTTTTTATTTTTATTTTTTGGTACCAGGAATTGAACTTGGATCCTTGTGCTTTCGAGGCAGGTGGCGGAACAACTGAACTAAATCCCCGGCCCCCCAGCCCTTTATTTATGTTGAGACAGGGTCTTGCTAAGTTGCCATGGAATTCCAGGTATACACTATTTACACCTGGCTTCAAGAAATCTTAAAAACTTCAGTTTGGCCGAAATTATGAGCATGAGAGGGGAGATAACAGCTTATCAGAGATGAGCTGGAAAAGTAATTAAGAGTTGAATTATGAGAAAGTTTCTGTACCACAGTGAGGACTCTAAACTTACATCCAGCAAGAAATAGGCATAATTTAAAAGGTTTGAAAAATGAAATGATTCAGTGATGTTCGGATTTTAGAAGACCTCTGGCAGCAGCGCACAGCAGTCTGGAGTTGCGAGCCCAATGGAGGCAGAGAAACTGATGGAGGAAGAGGATCAAGCAAGACATGATGAAGTCCTCGACTCAATCACTGGAAGTGGGAATGGAGCCCAGTGGAGTATGGAAGTCAAAGAGGCAGAGAACAGACAGAGCCCAAAGAATCTAGGACAATACCTCAGTTTCTGGATTATCTGAGGACAGGGAAAGAGGACAAAAGCAGATTTTAAGGGAAAGGTTATGAAAGGAATAGCTAAAGAAGAAACATCAAACCCTCACAGCAAAAACAGACTTTAATCAAAATGGTATGAGACATGAAAATGTGAACAAGTTTTTAATACTTTTTACTCACCTCAGAATCACAGCTGCTAAAGCTAACAACAGCAGAATTCTTATCCACATCAAGTAAATCTATTGGAACATTGCTCTACAGTATTAAAAAAAAAGGTTCAGATGGAAAACCTAAAAATGTTCACAAAATACATGTGTTTTCTTTAAGGGTTCTTTGTTCTAGTTTATGTTCATCTTTAAATTTGAGAATATGAATTGTTGATTTATATTAAATCATAATACTTTTAGGAAATAAATTTAATAAAGAACAAATTTTATTTTATACTCACCTACTTTTTCTAACTTAGATTACCAAAAATCATAGAATATCATCTTTTATATCCCCTTAAAAGTATAATCTTCCTATTGTTGGTGGCTTTTTAAAAATTTTTGAGACAGAGTCACCAGGTAGCCCAGGATGGCCTCAAGCTTGTGATGATCCTCCTGCCTCAACCTTCTGAGTGCTGGGACTATAAGAGTTCACCACCAAGCCTGGCTTAATCTCTTAATCTTCTATTTTTTTCAGTGCGAAATGCTGTTACCATGGGGCGTCATAGGACTATCCTATTAATTCATTCTTATCAACTTTATCTATTTCACCAAAAGAAGATAATTTGTAAAAACAGTTTTTAGGAGAGTTACTGTTGTTGTTATTTTTTTCAGACAGGGTCATGCTGTATAGTTCAGGTTGGTCTTGAACTCACTATGTAGCTCAGGCTAGCCTTGAACTTCCAATAATCCTCCTGTATCAGCTTCCTGTGGGCTGGGATTACAGGCATACACCACCACGTCTAGCAATTACAGTGTTCTATATGACTTTTACTCTTAGAGTTGTTCGACACAGTAGCCTGCAAGCTAACATTACTCAACAGAGTTTCCTACCTAAGGTTTAATTAATAATCTGATCTCTCTACTACATCTTTTTGAACCTTATCTTCTTCCTCCAATTCATTATTTTCTCATTTTCATATGAGTTTTCCATCTTATTCTTATTTTCTATTCATGCTATTATCTTTTGGTATCTCCTAAAGATCTTCCAATTTTTTTTTGGTACCAGGGATCGAACTTGGGTCCTTGAGCTTGTGCAGCAGGCGGCGAAACCACTGAGCTAAATCCCCGGCCAGATATTCCAATTTAAATAAACAAATAAATAGAAAAATAAAGTTACACATTGTTGTCCCTAAATTTCACCCTTTGAGATTTCCTACTTTGCTTATTGACCTTACCTAGAAACCACTGAGTTAATAAGCAAGCTATTCACATTATCATTTTGGTATTGGGAAATTTCTTTTTTCTTTTGGTTTTCTAAGATAGGGTCTCACTATATAGCCCAGGCTGGCCCTGAACTCACGGCAATCCTCTTGCCTCAGCCACATGAGAAATATTTTGATTTTTAAAAAGTCCTAACACAGGCATTAAGTACTGAAGTTTTTTAAGTCACATCTCTGTTAAGATTTTCCCAGAAGATAGCCAAAAAATAAAATTCTTATTGTCTTTTCTCTCTTTTCCTAAAACTGAAGTTCAGGAAAATGTTCAATAATATAACTGCCAGGGGCCAGGATTTAGCTCAGTGGTTCTGTCACCTCGCAAACGAAAGCTTCTGAGTTTGATCCCCGGTTCCCCAGTACCACCCCCCCCCCCAAAAAAAGTGCCCATGACTCATTTGTAAAACAGGTTCAATCATAAAACTAAGAAATTAGACATTCTGCTTACCTGTATTAAGACATTATCTATTGCAGTCTGCACCTCTAAAATAAGGCTATAGCTAGCATCATCTTTATTTAATGTAAACTTGTCATTTACACTAATTGCAGATACAGCTGTTTTTGCTCTGCTTGACTGAGAAGCCTGTTGATAGTTCTCTCTTTCCTGTAGTACCTTATACTGCAAATGTTCCAATTCACTCCTAGAGAAAAATGAATACAACTTTGTCACCTATAAAAATAAACATCTGAAGGCCATTTGGGACATATATTTTTTCCAAAATCAGTTGTTTTTTGGGGGGTTTTTTGGTACCAGGGATCGAACTTGGGTCTTTATGCTTGCGAGGCAGGCAACGGAACCACTGGGCTAAATCCCCAGCTCAAAATTTGTTTTTATTGGTTAGAACTATAATGCCAATCAGAACAAAATCTGTGCTTCTATATGACTGACCAAATGATTCTACATTAATCTCTAATCCAAAAGTGAAATCATCTACTCATCCCATGGCAGCAATAGTAATACAGTTGCAAATATCAGATTTCAAAAACTGAACTTTAGTACATGAATACAGTTGCGGATACATATAGTGCTAGTTAGAAGAGAAACTAATAAGGCAGACCACATTAGACTAACTGAGAAGAAACAAAATGCATGAAGCCAGTAAATGTATACCTTTCAGTAAGACAGTAGGGCAAATAGAATTAGTAGGAGGCTGCAGAGCACTGACATTCTGGCATGATCATGAGCCAGGGGAACAATTTAAATTCTATCCAATGTTGCAATGGGTTCTGCTGGAACTGAACTGCATACGCATTGCCTAGAATAGTTCTAATTAAGGGGAATGGCTATATGCATATAAAGTACACAGTAACTGGGGTAGAACAATAGGAAGCTTAGCTAGCCCAAATTTAGGGGGTTGTCTGGGGAGGGACTTAGAAGGGACTGGTGCAATGATCCAAGTGAAAAACTCATTCTCTGAAGAAATTTATAATACTGAATATTATGTACTTATTCCTGTGTACCTAGCACTGTTCCAGGTGCTGAATGAACAAAACAAATACAAGCTTGCCACAGAGCTTTTATTCCAGCAGAACCAGAAGGAGGAAAACTTGGTTACAAAAACAAAATCTTACACTGAGGATATGAGGTAGTAGTCATTCAGTGCCTAACGATCCATTATTGGAATCCACATAATAATGGAACATAATGAAACGTGTTCTCTACAAATTCTTATTCCTTGAATTTTTCTAGGCAACATATATGAATTTCATGCAAAAATTCAAAAAATTTCACTCTTTGACATAAATGGGTTAACTCTATTTAGTGTTCTTACTGCATGAATTAGCATATCCTGAATGAATCTGGTATACTTGTTTGCATAAACATTAGAGCTTGCTTTCTTCGTGGCTTTGCCGAATTGGATTTTACTACTAGTAATTGTGGCATCTGCTGCCTTAAAAGTTCCTATAGCCTTCAACTAACAAACAATCAGTCCTCATTTCCCTACAAGATGAACAGGGTTGGAGTGAGCAGTCATTAAAACTTTCAGCAACTCCCACTTCCTCTTTGTATAAAGCACCCTTACATGAGTATAGGGTCCCTTTTTACAGACATGTCAGATTGAATAGGGCATAAAAGCAATCCCTGTATCTAAGGTATCAGTTCCAGTAAGAAAACTTAAAAAGCCAACATTACAGAGGGGTCCACATAACAGTGAACACTAGTGTTAAGGAGAAATGTGGCTGAGTGAGTTTCTTCCTAATGTTCGTGAAAAACAAAAGCAAAACACTGTAACTACCCACAACTATGCAAATGAAAAAATATAACTCTGGAGCTAAGAAAAAATATAGGATAATGATAGCAAAGGTGTAATTCTAAAAAACTAATCAGTACTTACTGCTAATTGTCTCAAACACATAAATTTGCACTTTAAAAGGTGATTAATGATTCCATAAAATATAGCACATGTATATGTAATATAAAGCAACAACCACATACTTCCCTAAGACGTGGAAAATAAAAGCAAACAAAAATATCCATTACCGTAAAGAAGCAATTTTATTCTGCATCTCTTGATTAATTTTTAGTTCTTCTCCAGGTCCACTTTCCTTATGAATAGGCTCTGTTGTCAGACCTGTAATCCAGCCTGTAGAGATGAATTGCAAACACACACCATTTAGTGCTGCTGGTTTTAAGAGATACATTATACATCATGTAGCAGAAACCCCAATATACACGTCTTTTGTGCACCAGTATCAGCCTAACTTAGCCCTAGGACTTCTTAAAAAAAACAAACACAAAATCAAGCTAGAAAATATTCAAATCATAAAGTACTTAAACATTTTGTGATACTATTTTCTGCTTGAAATACTATAATACTATGATTAAAGGAGTCTTTCAATTCTTAACAATTTTAGTTTTTAAATATGAAATAAATCAGCACATGCTAGAAAATTCAAAGCAGCTGACAAAGAATTGCCCTCCAAAAATTATTTTCATGGAAATTTAAACTCTCACACAACTATTGTGAGAATGCAAAAATTACCTACTCAAAAGCAAGCAATGTTTTATAAGAAATGCACATAGTCCAAAATATAAACCAAGTTTCAGTAAATACTTCTCTTTAAGCCAAAGAATATCACTTAATTTTCAAAGGCACTGGAAACATGCTAAGCACTCTTAAAAAGTGGTATTGAAATGTTAACTATTATTTCTTTTATTTATCTTTTTAAAATTTTTTCTCAGAGCTGAGTATTGGACTTAGGGCCTCACATATGTCAGGCAGGCACTCTATCACTAAGCTATATAACCTGCCTCTCTCTTATTTCTTAAATCAATATAGTTTATAATGCTGTAGGCAAGAGTAACTTACTAATAATACTTTTTGAAAATACAGTCATTAAAAGAAATTAAATTTAAATTTTTATTATTCATTCTTTCTTCAACTATGAATCATCATTTACCTGAGTATGTGGCCACCACGATTTCATCGTAACTGTCTTTCCCTACACAACCACCTTGGATGGATGTGACACTTTCAGACAACATCTACAACAGATTTAAGACCAAGTATTTCATTAATAACTAAAATGTCAAATGTATGTTAAAGTAAGCTGCAAAATATATTTTGCTAGTCAAGATACTCAACACATATTTATCAAATGTTTACTGTGTACACTGAGATTAGAAAGACAATATCTTTAAAAATGCTGGAAAACTGCAGTGTTTCTAAATTTGGGAAAGAAGATTCAAAATGACTCTAATATATTTGTGTGTAACACTTAGCTGACAGTGCAATCATCCAATGAGCAAAAATTATTTATTTACATAAAAGGAGAATTTTAAATTATGTAAGCAACACTGCCAATAAGTTTAGTCTGTTATATGAATTCAACAGACCAGCTTTCACATGTTTTCTCCAGTGTTTTTTAGATGAAGGAAACTATACATTCCCTTGTAAGTTAGCTTCAGATTTTTTTTCTATTTAAGACAGGACCTCACTACGTAACGCAGGCTGGCCTCCAAGTCACAATCTTTCTGCCTCAGCCTCCAGAGTACTGGGATTACAGGCATGGGACACCAAGCCCAGCTATAGCTTCTAGGTTTTTTATCACAGCTTTAAATAGTTACAAAGAATTTAATTTCTGGAAGTTGTAAGTAAGATAATCTTTTAAACAGTATCTCCCTAACTTGTCTGTCAATAATCACTTAGGTGAATCAAAAAGGAATCTGTATTTTTAACAAGTACCCTAGTCCACAGGCTTTCAAGTTATTTGTAAAGCAAGCAATAAATTTTACAACCAGTATACATTCACACATGAACATATACAACAAAACATGTGACAAAAGATTTATGTTACGTTCTGATATATTCTTTTTTTATTTTTGGTACCGGGGATCGAACTCAGGACCTTGAGCTTGCAAGGCAGGTGGCAGAACCACTGAGCTAAATCCCTGGCCCCCATTCTGATATATTCTAATCTATTTCATTTTTTAAGAAAGTATTGGTAGTCCACCAGTGGGTTTTGACTAGTAGTTTGAAAAAGTCTGGTAGGTAATTCTCAGCAGGAAAGCCTGAGAACCACTGTTCTAAATGAGTGGAGGTATCCATACTGGCATCAAACCAGACAGTCAACAAAACACTAGTTTTCATCATCAATTCTATAGAAGGAAAAAATTCTTAGTTGTTCATTAGGCTAATTACCCAAGAAAGCCAAATGATAAAGGCCTGATTATAAATTGCATAAAGTAAGATTCATGGATCAGATCCAATATCTGTAATTTTAACAAGTGTCCCAGTTGATCTTATGTATAATAAAAGTCTCCAATCGTTTTTGGTCCATGTTCCCACTAAAGCAATTCTGAATAACTATATATCCTCCTGCATAAAGTTCACTTCTACATATTTCATCATAGCTTTAAATAATGCAATTTCACAAAGACTGAAATTTTTGGAAATTATAAATAATATCATCTGAAAATAAAATCGTTACAGCAACCTACCTAAGGATTCTAAATACTCAAATTTATACACAAATCACTGACTTTAAATAAATGGAGAAACAAATCCTTCTTTAGCTGTTCAAAATTTTACATTGCTTCTTTTTCTCCCTGAACTTTCATTTCCATTTTACTTCCCCCATATATTTTTATCTTAATATATATACTCATCTGCTTGGAATTCCTTTGTACTTCTCTACAACCAAAACATATATAAAATTGAAACCATATCCTATGAACAAAGAGCTATAAGAATTAGAAATTTCTATCACTGTGTACTGCAAATACCTATCATAATTATTAGTATTATACATCTGATCAAGGCAAATATATAAGCTCTAGTAAGTAATTACAACAGCAGAATTCTCTAGGAAATGTATTTTGTGAGATGAATGAGACTTTTATTCCTCCCCAAATTAATTAAATATTGCAAATTGATATTACATATGGCTAGAATGAGACTAGTTTTAATATCAGTTCTATTCTTATTTTTCATTTTCAGAGATATAAGCTCTCAAAATAGTACCTCTGTCATTAGAAAACCAGAAGAAAGAGTATGAAGGTAGGGTTTCTTAGTGCCAGACCCCTCAGAGAAGGTAAATGCTGTATCATTACTGAAGTTAGGAATAGAAGTCAAGAGGAGACTTGAGGTCTAAATAGGAAAATTTCTTAAGAATTGATGAGAAAAGCCAGGAGATCATAAAAAATTATTATACTTTAAGGCTAAACTATCAGCAAGATGAGTTTTCATATCAAAGAAGAACAAATTTAAAGTGAAATCTATTAAATAAATTTAACTGTAATATTTCAATACCCATATTGTCTGTATAACATACTCTTGTGGACTTTTCTTCTTTAAGCCTCAGTGTATCCTATATGAGGCAGGCTGAGAAAGCTCTGGATTGGAGAACACCCACTGTTATGATATGACTATGAATGTGGTTTGTACCTGCTCTCTACCCAGCACATTTATTCAAGAGTTCAATACCAAAAGTCCTATGTTAATGGGAACAATCCAAGGACAGTGCTTAAAAGTGGGGTGTTTAGGAAGTGATTAGATTAGATAAGGTCATTAGGGTGGAGCCTGCATGACTGGCTCCCAGTGGCTTCATAAGAAAAGGCAGAGAACCACAAACACCTGTGTACCTTCTCCCTCTCGCTATGTGGCACTCTGAACTGTGTTGCAGGTATTCTACCAGCAAAAAGGCTGTCACTGGATAAGCCCGCTAGACCTTGCATCTGCAAAACTGTGAGATAAACTAAAAATCTTTCCTTTATAAAAGTGGCCTACCTCACATATTTCATTATAGTAACCAAAAAAAATGGACTGATAAATGTCATGAAAATGAAAGATTTCACATACACACTAGAATATTATTCAGCCAGAAAAAGAATGAAACCATCATCTGCAACAACATCGGTAGAACTGGAAATCACTATATTAAGTAAAATAAGGCACACAAGGCCAGCTATTGAATGATCTCACTTATATGTGAAAGACAAAAATGTTATAGCACATAAGTTAAAATAGCAGCTACCAGAGGCTTGGGGGAGTAGGGAGGAGAGAAAGATAGGGAAAAGTTGATCAATGGGTATACTAACTTATAGCCAGATAAGAGTAAGAAGTTCTCATGTCCAAGTAATAGGAAGAAGAAGGAAAAGAAGAAGTGGGGGGAATGGGGGTCTGGTGTGCTACTGAATAGTAGGAAGGCTATAGTAACAATTACATATTGTATACTTCAAAAGGCTAGAAGAAAGGATTTGATTGTTCTCTCCATAAGGAAATGATAAATGAGCACACAAATATGATTAAACTTTACACAATGTACACATGTATCAAAATATAGCAAAATACCCCATTAATATGCACAATTTTAATGTTTTATATATGTTTAAGCTTAATTAAAAATAAATTAAAAGGAAAAACAGACTATGAAAGATTTGTGCCAGAATGTTTCTGTGACTCTGTACTTTTGCAGAAACAGGCTTAATTACATTTAAAATCTGTGAACTAAAATTACTTTTATCTAGTGGTTCTTTATAGCAAGTCTTTGAGTGTCTAGAATTGAAAATGCTGTTTATTCTGTTCTGCTTAAGGACAGTTCTGATACTGTCATAAGAATATGAAGTTTATTCTTAAACTTGTATTACTTTAAAATAATCTTTTTTTTTTTTACTTAAATTCTTTTATTGGTACATTTTAGGTATACAATACTTTTACATTTATCTTTGGGTGCTTGTACCTGTACATGATGTATCTTGGTTAAAAATAATCTTTTATGATACTCACATAAATCTTATTCCTATAATGTGGTTTTTTTTTTGGTAGCGGGGATAGAACTTGGGACCTTGAGCGCTTGTGAGGTAGGCAGCAGAACCACTGAGCTAAATCCCCGGCCCCCTATAATGTGTTATTATGCAAGATAGAAACTACCGCAAAGTCTTTGATGCTTCAGAAATTTATGGAAATATTTAAAAGTATAAATTTTTATCTATACTTTTACAGTAATTTATTATTTATACTTTTACAGTAATTTTCATTTATACTCAGTAATTTATCATTCACCTAAGAGGCAACAGTCTATAATTCAAATACAATACTCTAGAGATTTTTATAACATCAAAACAGCAATATTTTAACCCAAACACAAGAATTTAATGTATTTTCACTTAATAGAATTCAAATTATCAGTTATCTCTATAAACATTTCCCAAATCATATTTTGTTTTAATTAACTTACCTGATCAAATTGTAGAACAGGTTCATTTGCATCATCAAAACTATACACTTCCACCATTCCATCATCTCTCCCAACAAGTAAATCTTTAACCCCATCACCCATAATGTCAAAGCTGTCAATACATAAAATACCTTTAAAAAAAGATGTAAGTGATGAGTTAATAAGAAAACTTAAAGTTGTTATCAAGTATATACCAAATAAGAATGAAAAATGTATACATTAACTCAGAGTGGGAGGAGAAAAGAACAACTTGAACATAATCAGGTGCCTCTTTTCCATCCATATTCATTTCTTTCTGGGGCTTTAAATATAATCTATATGTCAATGACTCCAAATTTATACCTCCCTTCAGCTCTAGCCTCTACCTAGAGCTTCAGATTGACATATACAAGTCAGTTTCTTCACATACACATCTGTATCTCAAATTGTCCATGCCCTGACTAAAATTTGTCTGTTTACCACATCCCCTCAATCCTGCTCCTTCCCAAGTCTTCCCCTTTTCAATAAATTACACCATTCAGTTATTTGTTCAGGCCCCAACTCTAGACTACATCTCTCGTTCCTTTCTTCTTCTCACTCTCCACCCCAAATCCACCAGCAAATTCTATCTGCTCTACCTCTGCAATAAATGCTCAATTTCTCTTTTCCATTTCCAGCTATAGTCAGCGTGGACTCACCCCACCTAGATTAGAATAAGTTATAATAACTAAAACAGTAATGGGTAAGTCGTCTCTGTGTTTCCAATTTTGAGCTGCTTTCCCCCAAATCCCTTCTCCACACAGTATATTTTGTTTTAGTGAGTTAGATCATGCCATACCACCACTTAAGATTCTACAGTGACTTCCCATTGCACTTAGACTAACATTCAAACTCTTCAAGACTTACAATGACAGTTTGGCCCTACTCTCTAGAGAACTTCATTTAAGGCCACGTTAAAACACTGAGCCATACTGGTTTTCCTACTGTTTTCCAAATAAACAAACTTTACCTCTTCCCCAAGTCCTTTACACTTATTTTTTCTTCCTCCTGGAACATTCTTTTACCCTACACTATCACATCCCTCATCTTTTTTCTTATCAGATCTCAACTCAAAGTTTATTTCTTCTAGGTCACTTTCTTTAACCAATCAGCCTAAAAGCTGCTCTCCTCCCTACACTATCACCCTCTAATACATCTGATTAATTTTCTTTAGGTGACTAGGTAAAGCTATTTTATGTATTTATCATTTATACTCCATATTCCTTAACAAGTATTTTTAAAGGAATATACGAACGTCCAAATAAACATCCTGTACATGTAAATCGCCATCTCACTATCCTCTAAGTCAAGTATAAATTCCTCTTAGGAAGGTATAAATTCCTTGGAACGGAGGAATATTCTCTGACCCACTGTACTTCCTTGCTTCCTACAATGTACTATCAAATTTCAATTAATCTACCTCAGACAATTAAAAATGAGCTTTAGCAAAGAATGAAGGACATTCACCTACAAAAGCCTATCTACCCCAAATTACTATTAACATTTATTTCTTTTAAAAAATTATGCCTACAATATGATAGACCTTACAAACAATAGATGAATCAGAGGAGGCTTTGTGAATTGCTAAGTGTGCTATATAATATGAATAGATAAAACAGAATGAATTATTAATCTATTTCTTAAATAATCACTGAAATTTCAGAATCTGAACTACATCGAAAGCATACCTCCCCTCTTCTTTTCATTTCGAATTTCCCACTTGTGTATTGGTTTGGAGGTTGTGACCTGAGTAAGTCCAAGTTTCCCATCTGAGGTTCCAAACAAAACATCTTCTCCAGAGTCACCTAGTTATAGTTGAAATGAACATATTAATAACCTTTTTATTTTATTTATTTTTTTTGGTACCGGGAATCAAACTTGGGACCTTGTGCTTGTGAGGCTGGCAGTGGCACCACTGAGCTAAATCCCTGGCCCTCAACCTTTTTAAAATTAAAATATATTCATGTAAAAATTTAACTATTATAAAAAGATGGAATATTTAAGGTGAATTAACATAATTTTATAACCACAGTAAGGCTACTTCCCATCATCTAATTTCCAGATGAAGAATCTGAAAATTAAATAACTATTGTGAGTTACTAGAAAATTACCAGAAGACAAATGTCTCAATTCTAGTTCATGTTCTTTCTAAACTTTTCCATTTTTACTTAGTATTTTTTTTATAAACACATTAGTTGTTTGTGAAAACTGAAATCCTGATTACCGCCATTTCCGTTGTGTAGTGCTAAGACACTAGGTGGACCAGGAACTTCAACTTCATACATCACATCAGATCCCTGAAGGAGAACAAAAATTTAAAAATACAGTATAGGCATTCACAGGTCATCAATTTTCAAATACAATACTCTTAATAACTTCTAGATAAAACTGCTAAAAAATTCTAAGTCATGAGTATCAACTTATATTTGTTAGTAATTTTGCATATATTAACACATTTGAAAATAAAAACATATATATAAAGACCAAGGGGAAAAATATGAAAAATATCCTAAGGTGCAAAGGGGAAGGGGAAGTGGGAGGGGTAGGGGAAAGGAAAGAAGGGAATGGAATTAATATGAGAAATTGAAAAAATGGAAACAAACTCTTTGTAAATAGGGAGAGATGGAGGGATTGAAGGGTAGGCAGGGGAATGGGGAAAAAATAAGAACCAAGAGAGTTTATGTAAAGGTGCAAATTTCCAATGATGAATGTCATTATATTGTATAGCTAAAATGTACCAATAAAATATGAAAATGTTAAAAAAATATTCTACACTTTCTCCACTTTTCATTTAAAATATATTGATTTACTTGAAAACTTGACATTGATAAATTTTCCTTTCAAAATTCTCCAGGAATAAGTTATTTCTTCTGTCCTCTCTAGCACTAACTAGAAGATTTAACTTAGAGCCCATTTTTCATTAGACCTGAAAAGTTACTTTCTAAGGAAAAGTCTGGTCTTGTCTATGGATATTCTTAAAATCTACTCCAGTTAAGAGCCTGAATCACCTGCCAGTCAGATAAGAAAACAAGTAAGGTCCTTTTGTCTGTTTGTTCAATTTTTCCATCTATATAATTTAATGAAAACATAATGGACAAAATTATAGTAAACATGGTACATTGTTTTTCTTTAAAATTTTAATACATATTAACATATATAAGAGATAAATATATAAAGTAATACTTTTATCAATTAAAATTACAGATACTGTTATCTATTCATTTCTGCTATGAACACAAAAACATATACACAAAATTATAAAAAGAAGCAACTTTTGCGGTAACAAATTGGCCTCAAAGGCAGATGAGGAGCAATGTAGAGTTTAGTTCCTTCCTTTTCAAAAATCCTTATTGATTTGTTTTTGAACAATAAAAATTTGGGGAACCTGGCATAATGGCTCACTCTGATAGCGCCATTACTCTGGGAGGCTAGGCAGGAGGACTGAAAGTTCAAGTCCAGCCTGGGCACCTTGGTGAGACCCCATATCCCAGTAAAATAGGGCTGATGATGTAGCTCAGTACAAAGGCCCTAAGTTCAAGGCTCTCAGTAAAAGCTCCCCCCTCACACACACACACAAGAATATGGATCTCCTTGTGAAAGGAGAATCCTAGATTTAGCCAGATCAATTTCTAACTGAATATCAGCCAGCTCCTGTTAAAAAGCTATTCAAATAATTCATATTTGAAAGTATAGGCTGCAGGAGAAATTATTATTCATACTTCTAGAATGAACCTGAAAGATTATTTTGATTGTCCATGGTGGAGACAAAGGGGCACAAAATCACTGAATTTTTCCTTCTGTAAAAGGGCTGTTGCCAGAAACAGGCATCTGGTTATGGAATTCCAAAGAGTAAAAGGGCCTGTGGTAGCACCAGCTGTTCTCAGTTTAAGTTGCAGTTCCATCCACTAGCTATATGCCAAATTTTAAAGGTCCTTTAGAACATGTGTGTATGTGTGTTTCTGTCTTTTATCAAAAGCCACTCTCAAGAAGATATACCGGTAACTATTTTCACTGAAAACAATGACCTAAGCAGATGTTTAGAAACAAGGACACCAAAATGATTTTTTCCTCTATCACTCATTGACTTAAGAAATTTGCTGAGTGCTTGCTTTATTCTACATACTGACATAAATACTAGCTGGATATCCTCAAAGTATATATCACCCTCCCCCAACCTCAATTTTTTTGCTTAATTTGATATTTGGGGGAAGGAAAGGCAATGAAAGGAAGAAAAAAAGTGCTGGTTAAGGCTCTCTGTTAGAAGTACTCTGTTCCACTGTACTAGCCAGAGATGAGGACGGGGAGGGAGACGTTTTTCTTTCTCTTCCACATACCGTACATATATGGTCTCTAAAAACTTCTAAAAGAGCTCTACACATATAACTCAGTTAAATTTAGAAAATTGTTCTAGATACAACTTTATCCAGGACGCTTAAAGTAGTAATCACTAAAATAATTTCAAACAACATTCAAAAACCATTTACCTAAATTAAGAAAAGTTACCAAAATGCAAGTAAGAACAACCTGTAAAACTCTGAGCACTCTGTCCTGGCATGCCAATACTGGTGTAATTCGAGGTAATCTTTCTACTGGAAGGCAGGTGACATCGTTGATTTTATCCCCGGAAAGATAATAATGTTGGTCTTTGCAGTCACGATAATGGTTATAGATGTAACTTGCACTGAGAAACAGGTCAGAGCCAGATACGTGCCTGAGAACATTAAAATGGCAATTTAAGACATCTGTATTTTTAAAAATATGCACAGGTAATTATTGAAGTTTTTCAGAGATAAAAACAAAGGACTTCATAGTTTGCTATCAATTTGTCACAGATTTAGAGAACAATACGAGATTTTTGAAATAACACTACTTTAAATTTCAAAAGTTGAATATAATCTTAAAGCCTAAGGCTTCTGAATAAAAAATAAGCTCAGAAAAATGGAAAACAAAAGATCATGATAATGTATCTGAAGACAGTATCAAAAAAGAAACCTTTAATGCATACTATATGCCAATCACTATCCTAAGTGATTTACCTGTATTAGTTCAATTAATCCTCATAATCCTACAAACTAGGGAACATTTTATCCCTTTCATAGGTGATTATAAAATGTTAACTTGCCTGATGACACTTAACTAGTAAATAGTGGAATAGACTGCAACTCAGGCAGTTTTTAGCTCTAGAGTTAACATTCTCACTACCACACTCACTTGCCTGAAAAAGTTTATTTGAAGTGAATCTACTTATTCATTAGAACTTTATCTGGAAAAAAGAAATCAAAATAAACTCATTTCAAATTATTTTAAGCAAAGCTGAAGTAATAATCACAGTGATACTGGAATTCTTAGGTTGAATTCAGTTTCTCTTGGTGGAGCTGAAATTTTTTTCACAAAAATTATATATACTATTAGTATATAAATTATGTATTACTAGCATAATATAGGTTGAATAATCATAATCTAAAAATCTGAAATCCAAAATGATTCATGTGCTAATATGATGCTCAAATAGTTTCAAATTTTTGGATCAGAAATGCTCAACTGGCAAAATCTTTGGAAATATTCCAAAATTTTAAAAACTCCAAACTCTGAAAAATACTGGTCCCAAGAATATTTAAAAAGGGAGACTAAGCCTATATAGCTTCAATTCTAGACTGATATCACCATATGATCATAAAGAGGGTCATTTTATTGGAAGGCTTCATCTATTTCTCCACCTCTAAGATCCACTTAAAAATTGTTCATACTGACCAGCCATGGTTGTACACACCTATAATCCCAGCTACTTATGAGGTTCAAGCAGTAAACTCACAAGATTTGAGGCCAGTCTTGGCAATTTAGTGAGACTATCTCAAACTAAAGGAACAAAAAGAGCTGGCAATGTAACTCAGTGGTAGAACGTATCTGCATCCAATTCTCCATCACAATGAAAAGAAAATTCAATACTAAAATTATTTTCTGAAAAGCTTATAACGATCCTCACTCATTCAGTTATTAAGTGGCCATACTTTGTGGCTCTGCCTATGCATAAAATACAATTTTAATCACCCTCAAAAAAGTCTGTATAAGAGCCAGGGACCTTAGTTAGCTCAGTGGCACTGTGCGTGCCTGGCAAGAGCAAGGTCCTAAGTTCGATTCTCAGTACCTCTCAAAAAAAAAAGTCTGTATCTTCTTCAAGATTTGCAATTTCATTTCTCCATTTCTGAAATCAGTATGTATTATGCTGGCCACAAACTGTTCAACAATTACTAACACTGACAAGAGGAAAGACAGATTGTAGCATTAATCAGGAAATGCTGAGGGTGACCAATTTTCTAAGTAGTCAGTTTCTTTACTGAAGATTTCTAAATTATAATCTTTATTTTCTTATGAAGACTTATGAATATGGGATTGCAGGTAAAATATTTATAAAATTTGAGTAGAAACCACTTCTAGCCCATCTGTCATTCCAATAAAAACATTTAAGAAACTGACCAAAGAGACTCTTACTGGGAAACTCTTTTATCTTCCTCACAATTTAAATACCTTTCTGAATGTAGAGGTATTCTAATAATAAATTACTTTGATTTTAGTATTTCACAATTATCATTGGCCATGTCTGTCTACATGAGCATTTCAGAAGTGTTAGCATTCTTGCTAAAGGACTTAAAACTACTTCCATTTGCCACTGTTTAATTCTTTTTTGTTTTGTTTTTGGTAACGGGGATCGAACTTGAGACCTTGCATTTGCAAGGCAGGCACTGGAACCACTGAGCTAAATCCTCTGCCCAGCCACTGTTTAATTTTTAACCTCACCAAGCCAAAGTTTTAAAGCCTCAAATATCAAGAGATGTGCTGTGAATTATACAGAACTAGACAGGACGGCTGTATATTATATAGAACTCTGGACTGAATCAGTAGTTTCTAAATCCAGAAACGTGACTGCTTATACAACTTGGCTGCATCACATTCAAAGGAAAAACTTTAAAAAAATAAATAAATAAAAAGGAAAAAGGAAAAAAAAAACCCGCTCCTGATTCAGCAGGTCTAAGGCAGAGGATAAGTGTTTAAGCTTCTCAAAGGGCATTCCTAAGTTGCCAGGTTCAGAAACTGTCAGATGAACTAAAAGCCCTCTTTAATCCCCTATGATTCAAAACTAAAATTTTAATTGCAAAATTTCAAATATCAGGATGCTATTTTTCATTTAATTTTACCTGATTCACCTGAAATTCTCCTTTATTGATAGTTACCAAATTTGATGCCCAGCCTTTTTAACATGTTGCTAACGCAAAGCCAAAACTACCAAAGACAGCCAAGGAATAGGAGCTTAAATATGTGGAGTTTTTTCACTTTTTTTTTCTATACATTGATCATGACTCATAACTGAACCAGGTAGTCAAAAATGAATGTGTACTACAGTTTACCACAATTAACTGTACATTTCAAAATAGCTAGTAGACTTTGAATGTTCCCTGCACAAAGAAATGATAAAATGTCTGAGGTGATAAATATGCTAATTACCCCATTATACACTGTACACGTGTCATGAAATATAACTCTGTACACCATAAATATATACAATTATTGTCATTAAAAATTCAAACATTTTTAAAAAGTAATGTCAACCCCCCCAATTAATGTGTGGATATGTGTATGTGTATGTATGAAATAACATTCTTAAAAAGAAAACAATAGTTCAATAGCCAGTCAATTTTGTATTTATTCTAGGTCAAATTTAGTTTCTAATAAAATAGTTTTAGTTAATTTTATTATCTAGAAGGCCTATAAGATATATTTATTTTTAAGATATATTTAATCAAATGTTTTATATCCATCCAAGATACTGTAAATAGATATGTAAAAATAAAGAGAACCATAACATACATAGCTTTAATGCATTCTGTGAGGTTTGTTTCAAAAGAAAGGAACTGTTTTCCTCTCTTTGTGAAGCCTCTGATTTCAGATCCTGCAGCAATAAAAATTTTCTCCTGAGGTGTGTTAAGAGCTCCTCCTAGTTCCAGTCTTGCAATCTTCTGCCCTGGTAAAGTTTTGAACACTGCCTGCAAAAATTATTCAGGAAAAAAGTAAATATACAAGTTCTTTTATTGTGAGCATTTTTCCTTTACCATAAAAAATGCTATAGTTTTTAACTTAAAAATATTATCATTTCACTATATAGAAATGCCTTTAGATAAAAATCTATCTACTTTAGTGGGTCTTCTGGAATTTTTCTAGCTACCCTTAAACTTTGGAATATTTATTCCCACACATTTAAAAAATACTATTAAAGTCTAAACTCTTGCAATTCAAAGTTCAGTTCACTAAGCAGCAACATTAATTAGATTAAATGTATTAAATATGCAGAATATCAAGCCCAACCCCAGATCTACTAAATGAGAATCTGCACTTTAACAAGATTCTCCAACTGGTTCCTATATACATTAAAGTTTGAGAAGCACTGGTGAAGTTCACCTGGCAATTGTTTAGTTAGGTTGAACAATGTGTTTTACACATTAATCATCTTCTTGAAACTAATGTCTCCTAAATTTTTTACGATGTTATTTATTTATTAGTTAGTTTTTTTGAGACAGGATCTTGCTACGTAGTTCAGACTGATTTTGCACTCACTATGAAACCCAGGCAACTCTCAGCAATCCTCCTACCTGAGCTTTCTGGGTGCTGGGATTACAGGTGTGAAGCACCACAGTTGACTCTGCAATGTATATAGCTTTTAACAGTAAATGCTGAGCATGGGGGCACACACCTGTGATCCTTGTACTCAAGAGGTTGAGGCAGGAGGATGGCCATCAGTTTGAGGCCAGCCTGGGCTATATAGTGAGTTCAAGACCAGCCTAAACTATATAGTGAGACCCTGTTTCAAAAAGCAAAACAACAACAACCACAAATTAGTCATAAAGCCTATAGAATTTACTGAAAATGTGAGTGTGCATGATTAATACCTTAATCATATCTCTCTTTAATTAAAATAACATTCTTATCACTAATTTTTTCATGGTTATTTTCCATTTTATTTGTATCAGTTTCTCCCCACTGCTCTTGGAGGACATGTGAATAATAGAAACATTATGTTTCTGGTAGTTTTAACTCTATCTTTTTTGTAATTCTATATGTTGTACAATGAATATCTGAGTTTACATCTCTGACCCACCACTTACAAACTATTTCCTGTGATTATGACAATGTAATGGTAATCACTTCCTTGATTAGGTTAAATCCCACAACAAAGGTAATAGAATAGTCACTTCTGTGAGTACACAATGTTATCAAAGACTGTTCTTTAACGCTCCACAGAGACTGTCCTGCTAGCTCTAAAAAGATAGGTTCCCATGTAGTAAGAGGGACTGAAAGGAGCTGACTAGGGGAACCTTAAGGAGCTGAATGTACACAGCTCCTACCTTATAGGCAGCACTAAAGCAAGGACTTTAGTCCTAAAACAGCGAAGAAACTAACTCTGCCAGTGACCAGACATGTGGAACAGGACCCCAAGCTCTAGGAAGAAATACAGCCTGGCTGACACCTAAACAGTAGCTATGTGAAACCTTGAGCCCAGACTCCCCACCCACAGAAACTGTGAGATAATAAATATCTGTTATGTTAAGTCCCTAAATTCAAGGTACATTTTTTAAACAGAAAACTAATATACCACCATGGGCTGCCAAAGGCGTTTTACAATTAGCTAGAGAATGACTTGGGCTGGACTACAGCCTCACACTTCAGCTACAGCTGTTCCTCAGTATGTGCAGCGATTGGTTCCAGGACCCACTACAAAAACCAAAATCCACAGTTGCTCAAGTCCTTTATATGAAAAGGCATGGTATTTTCATAACATGTGCACATCCTCCCATGTACTTTAAATCATCTCTAATTACTTATAATACTTGATACAATGTAAATGCTATGTAAGCAGCTTTTATACTGTCTTGTTTAGGGACAAGAAAAAGTGTATACATGTTCAAAGTAGATATGATTTGTTTTCCCAAATACTTTTGATCCTCAGTTGTGAAACTCATAGATAGAAAGTGTCAATCGTACTTCCTTACAAGCCATTTTCCATTGTCTGCATTTTAGAAATTTTAATCTAGGAGTACTCAATAAGTTCAACATGTGTCTTTGGGGAAACCTTTTCCCCAAAAGCTCTACTTACCACTGCTTCTCCCTTCCTCATGCCAAAGCATGTAACTACCCCATCGTGATCTCCAATAACCACCTGTGACAAAGTGAGGAGAATCTAAAATTACTAACAAAAGTTCAGTGTTTTCAGATTTCACTTTGCACTAATATGTAAGTAACAATATCAAGTTAAAGTGTAGTATCAAAGGGGAAGAGTCATAATCATTTGAAAACACTATTTAAATACCTTCCCTTATTTTTAATCATGTTTGTGTAAGCTGGATTATCTTCCTATATTTCAACCAAAAAACATATCACAACAGAATGAATGCAGGAAACAGATATGAGAACTCATCTGCCTTCGCTTATGCCAGTCATAAAAGAATTTGCAAAAATATATCACTATTCTAAATCCTTTTTGTTCTTGCTAAAAATGTGTTATTTATGTAAACATGTAATGGGTTTATTATTTCTTAATAAAATATTTTAAACATTTCTTAATTTAAATTTTAATACAGTAAGTATTGATATCACTCACATATATAAATAAAGTTCTTTGGGATCTTCAATAATTTAAATGTGTAAAAAGGTTCTATGACCAAAAAGTTTGAGGGTCTAGGATTTAGCTCAGTGGTTCTGCCACCTGCCTCGCAAGCGCAAGGACCCAAGTTTGATCCCCGGTACCCGAAAAAAAAAAAAAAAAAAGACCAAAAAGTTTGAGAAGCAATGATCTAGTAAACAAAATATAATAAATTATAATCAGAAACCTATTGATTTATCTTGATAAAATGTTAATATATCAGCATAATATGTTTCTTTTGAGGCTAGTAAAATATCCTACTAGTCTACTAAGAAATTATAACTTTATGGAAATCATAGGATCAACAGTTCTATTAAAAATCAATAAATACAAAAATCAGCATCAAAATAATGACTTAAAATGTGAGGAAGTTTAAAGAAAGGTTTTCCTTCTATATGCTATTGTACTTCATATTTTTTATGTACACATTCTGCTAAATAAAGTATTATAAAGAAATGTATAGTTTTTAACAAGTTTACTTATAGGATTTACTAATTGTACATAATAATTTTAATGTTCCAGAAAATTACTATCTGTAAATATCCCTTGGTATTCCAACTTCTATGCAAATAAAACAAAATTCACTTCCTTAGCATTTTTAAAAGATGAACTTACCAATAAAGACGGAGCCTATCAGAGAGGGAAAACGGAGAAATCAGTATCTAAACCATACCTTTTGTGTAGTTCTAGATTTTGAGGCAGGAAGTAGCTTCATAGTCTTCTGAGAGGTCACTCCCACCTAAGGAAAAATACCAGATTCCTAGCAAATGTTTTCTGATACATCATACCTTGAAGTTATTGTAATTGAGGTTAAAAAGATTAAACCAGCAGATCAGATCATAGTGAGGCTTTTTTTATTTTTTTACTAAAATGAGTGATACATTATTAGCAATGAAGTTATTTTCTAGCGAAATATGTCACAAGCCAAGTGCAGTTGGTGAATGCTTGTAATCCTAGGTACTTAAGAGGCTGAGGAAGGAAGATTTCAAGTTTGAGGACAGCCTGGAAAATTTAGTAAGACCTTGTCTCAAAAAAATAAAAAAGGCTCAATGGTACACTGCCCCTGAGTTGGATTCTCAATACTGTTAAAAGAGAGAGACAACGAGAGAAAGAGAGAGAGAGAAACAGACAGACAGAGACAGAGAGAGAGACAGTGAGGAAGAGGGAGATTCAATTCAGAATCTAGGAAATAACCAAAAATACTGCAATATATCTGATAAGTTTATCAAGCCAAAAAGAATTATGTGACATTACTGATAACTGGCTTCATGAAAATACTTTTAGAAGCTTTTTCTAATTTCATACAGTTGAGGAAATTTTTGTAAAATGATTAAAACTCCTTGGAAATAGATTATTTAAAATGCAACACGACTTTTTTTTTCCTGCTAAAATGCCAAACAGGCTGGTGGTAATAATATCCAATCTAACTGACAATGAAGAGCAGAGAGCAATGAAAACAGCATGGCTTCCTCAGCCAGGAGCTGTGGCTGGAGGGGTACAGTTAAAAACGAGGAGCGGTCAAGTGGGAAAAAACAGATCACAAAAGAACTTGCATACAGTAAGATACACGATTTTATTTTGCATCTCAAGGAGGAGTATTAAAGTTTGAAGTAATCTGTTAGGTTTATATTTTTAAAACACCAGTCTAGCATGTGATATAAAAGATGGCTCAGAGGAAGACGACACTGAAGTTTAGAAACCCAGCAAGAATATTTCAGTTATCCAAGCAGAACAAGAGAAGCCAAACTGAAGGTAATGGAGATGGAGAACAATGGGACAGATGCAAAAGATATTTAGGTGATAAAAGCAGCAAGATGTGGTAACCAGTTAAATGTGGATAGTATTAAAGCGGGAAGTGTCTATCATAACAGAGAAACTGATATGGAAACATTTGTACTGTTAGCTAAAGTAGGATGGATGAAAAGGGAGGAAGTGGGGAACTGGGATAGAGAATTCTCGGCTGAAAAGAATCATGAAAGGCAGTGTGGTGCAACTGAAAGGACCTCAGCTCTGGAGTCCAAGACCTTGATCCGAACAGCAACTCCATCATTTTTAGCTGCTGAGCAAATTATTTATCTTTTCTGAGTCCCCGAATCCCCATTTCTAATATTACTTATTTTGAAAATTTTTATGAGGATTAAGTATTTGTGTATTATACAAGGTGTGATCATAAATCACGGTGTTTAATTTTTTAATTGTTAAAGACACATTTCCATTAATCTCTCTTAAAATACTACCCCTACTTCGAACACACACTTATTCCATCCTTCTTGCCACTTTCTGAAGCAGTTCCGGAAGTCCTCTTTCCTGAGTTTTACAAGGTGTGATTAAAAATACAGTGAATGCGGCTGCAGATAGTCATCCAACGGAAAGGCAGGCTCGTAGAACTATTACGGTGTGTCCTCGTCCACCTAATTCAGCAGATCTAGCACCGTTCGACTTCTGGCTCCTCCCAAAGTCAATATGACCATAGAAGGTAAGATCTGAATAGATTTAGGACACTGAAGTAGCCACGACAGTGCAATTAAAAGCAGTCACCCATGAATGAGGACTTCGAAAACTGCTTCAGAAAGTGGCCAGAACGATGGGATAAATGCGTTCGAAGTGAGGGGAAGTACTGAGATGGGGGTTAATGCCAATATGTCTTTTAGTGTGATTATTTTTAAAAAATATATATAAACATTCACCGTATTTTTCGATCAGCCCTTGAACGCGAAGGTCTTAAACCGCTAGATAAACGGCTGTCATCGTTTTTAGTGGGATCTGGCTGGGGCGCTAGTGCCTGGCGCTCGCGCGAGGGGAGCAGGTAGAGATGAGGTTGGGGTCAGGCCCCACAGGTCCCGCAGCTGGGGAGGAGGAGGAAGACAGCCCTGGGGAGGAATCCCGACGGGACCGGCGAGCATCCTGGAGACCCGCGGGCACCAGCACTGCGGGGCGCGTGCCGCTTCTTTCCGTCCACGTCCTCGCCACCGACTGTCACAGTGGCGCCGGAGCGGCTAACGGGAGGGCAGCACCCAGCCTGCCCCTTCGCCCGCTCACGACCCGACAGGCGTCCACGGAGGGAAGGAACCCTCTCAGGAACGGGGCCGACCCGCCCTCCCTCTCCGGTTTACCTGTAAATAATCCGCTCGGTTTAAAACCAGATCCATGACTTCTGCACGGAAAGGCCGGGCGAGGCCGGGCGAGGCCGGGCAAGGCCGGGCCAGACCAGCGGAACAGAAGATGCCGATCCCCAAGGTTGGGGCCTGGACAGCCAGAACCACCGCGTACACAGAAGGACCAGCACCGCCGCCAACCCGCCTCCGCCTACACCCGGGCTACAACAGCTCGGCGTCAAGGCAGCGGCGCCCAGCCTGACGTCAGTACGCTCCGGCAAGGGGCCCTGGCCGCACAAAACACCGCCCCTTGGCGACGGACCGCCCACGGACCGTTCGCTCCAATTAGAGGCGGCCCGGACACCCGGTTTCCAGAGAGACCGGAGACGCGGCCTTGGCTCCGCCCGTCGTTTTTCCTCTTCTGTGCAGGAAAAGCTAAGGAGAAGCTCGGACAGACTCTGATGTTTCTCTCTAATAACAGAAAAAGGTCCTGCAAAGAATTAGGCTCTTCCATTTATCTCTTTACAAAACCGAGGCTGACCTGCACAGGCAATTTAATGAGACCCTATCTGAAAAAAAAAAAGAAAAGAAGGAAGAATTGGTTGTAGGTCAGTGGTGGGCTGCTCATGCATTCATCCCCAGAACTGAAAAGAAAAACAAAAACGAAGGAACAAAAGGAAGAAACAAAGACTGAGGATGCAAAGCACTTTTTTTCTGGAAGAGAGGAGCTCAATGGCTATAAACAAAAAAATAAGATGGAAATGCTAATTGCTCTGATTTAATCAGTAAACACTGTATTATATATTGAAATATCACACTATACCACATAAATATGTACAATTATTGTGTGTGAATTAAAAAATGAGAGGAAGAAAAAAATCTAAAGCTAAGGTAAGTTTCTACCTTAGGAAACTAGAAAAAGAAAAATCCTAAGTAAGATCTTAATTGAAGATGAGATGAAGAAAAGAAAGAAAACAAAAGAAAAAATGGGACTACGGCCACTTAAATGATAACATCAGCCTCTTGAAACACCTCTAGAATCCCCAGGGACTGAGAATCCCTGATATATCATAACCTTGTTTGACTAAACTAGTTATGAAGACCAGAAAAGTTAAGTAATTTGTTCACAATTAGTGAGGCTTCCATTATTTTTAGACACTGTCTAAACAGTTTACCTTCCCACTTAACAAAAGCAGCTTTCATTTCATGTTTGAAATAAAAATATATTGAACGTGATTGGGTAAGATAGTTATTGTACATGGAACTAAATTTCCTTTTAATAATCACAAAATATGTCATCTTGGGTTTTATAGTGTACAGAACTCTTTGAGGACACTGGATACCATTTTCATAGTTCTAAATTTTAAGTCTATGAACCCAAACTTCTCAATAGAATTCCAAAAAGTCAAGGGTACCCGCTGAATTTTAGTCAGCAGGCCCTTACAAAATACGACTTTTTAAATGGTATGTCTAAGAAGCAATATGTTCTTTCAAAATTTTATCCTGCCTGTATAACTAAGAAAAGAACTAAGAACACCAAAGTAGAAAAGTGATATCACAAAAAAAAAGAAAAATTACCAGGCTTAGACAGTCTTGTAATTAATTGTAGGCACCTAAATGTCAAGAAAACAGGTCCTGTTAAAATGGTCTCTTCTCTGAGTCAAGAGGATTACAGGCCTTTGCCGCCTTTGAGTTTTGCTTTTCAGTGTGCCTGTTACAACGGAGGAGGGCCCCGACCTGCTGACCCAGAGCTATCTTGAACCCTCAAAAGAACTATTACTTCTGACAACAGTCTCCTAACCTCACCCCTCTGCTATAGTAATACCTTATGCCTTAGGGTGGAGTCCCTAGAAGCAAACTCAACAAGATTTGGTTGCAGTGATTCAGTGAGTGAACTTCTCAGGAGAAAGGAAGGGAGGGAAACAAGACAAGGCTGAGGAAAAATTAAACAAAGATTCCTGTCAGCTTGAGTCTGGCTTCAGCCTCATTCCTTCAGGTACTCTTCTGGAGCAGTAATTGCTAGGGGTTGACCTACCTTGTTTCAAGGGGCCACACTTTTGAACCCCCATCAGTCATGAGCCATGAGCCTTGGAGAGCTGGAGGCTTGCTGTCCAGGGCAAGGCTTAGGGCAATGCTCTGGAGAAGGGATTGGGGACCTGCTCCGGAGTGTGGGTGAAGGGTACAGGCCCAGGACAGGGGTCAGAGCAGGACATCCATGCCGCCAGTAGTACCCACTGTACCTTCTCACCATCTCTCAACTAGCACCTCAAAACTGAAGAAGTGGAAAATGAAATATTAATGTTCTATCAGTAGAAAAAGAAAAAAAAAAACAAGTGTATGTGCACACATAGTGTGGATGTCCTGATTTTTATCTTCATAGGTCTCTGATCTTCATAGTCCAGAAATCTCAGGCTAAATGTGCCCTGCTGAATCAGCTTTTTCATTCAGCTTTTTCCCAGCCTCAACTAGAAAAATTACTAAATACATATTTTATTTCTTAGTTATGACCAAAAACTTCCCCACTTTGAATCCTAGGCAAGTAGGATTTTAAACAATCTATTATAGAAACTCCGTACTTTTACTATTTTAATGTAGAGTATAGCAGCAATATATAACAGTGGAAAAATTCATGACTTTATTCAATTCTAAGGCATAACACAAAAAAATATAAAATGTGAAAAATCTTTAAGACAAATAATGTTAACATAGAACAAAAGTTATTGAAATATTCCACAATGGCAGAAAAATGTATAAAGTCAAATTCTTAATTTAACTTCCCAAAAGTAAACATTAAGAAGCAATCTTTAGGGCCGGGGATTTAGCTCAGTGGTTCCGCCACGTGCTTCGAAAGTGCAAGGTCTTAAATTTGATCCTCGGTACCAAAAAAAAAAAAAAAAAAAAAAAAGAAGAAGAAGAAGTACTCTTTAAACTGGTTGTGGTGGTGCACCACTATAATCCCAACTACTGGGGAGGCTGAGGCTAGAGGATCCCATGTCTGAGCCCAGCCTGGGTAACTTAAGGAGACCTTGTTTCAAAAGGGCTGGGAATGTTAGTTCAGGGGTAGAATGCCCTGGGTTTGATCCCCAGTACAAGAAAAAGAGAGACAGAGAGGAAAAGGAGAGGAAAAAGAAGAAAGAGAAAGAGAGAGGAAAGGAGAGAGAAAAAAGAAAAGAGAGAGAGCTAGGGAGAGAGAAAAAGAGCGAGAGATGGAGAGGAAGGACAGGACAGGAAAACTGATGCAATTCTGTGAGCTACGGTCACAATTTACAGGAACGGACTGAAAAGACTTGGGATGCTAAACATAACTCTATGGGAGAAAGTCACAAGGCATCATAGACGTGAGCAGTACTTTGCTCAGCTATGTGATAACATCCAATACAGATGCATCACAATCAAGTTCGTGTGGAAAGAGGTGAAATCCTTTCATAAGAACAAAAGGTGTCACCATGAAGAACGATGATAGCAAGAGCTCTGTTCATGGGATATGGAGCACTCCCAAGGAGGTCTGGCCCTGTCCTTCCAGACAGTCATGGCTCACTCCCAACTCAGAATGGAGCAAAGGGGCAAGATAGTAAGTCAGTGGCAGAAATTAGAAGGTTATAACAAAACAATTGTGCTGCATAACCCCCAACTTTAGAAAGACTTAGCACCCTGTTGATTAAATTCACTGTACTGAAAAACAACAAATGAAAAGCTGCAAAAAAGGAAATGAGATATATTTTAGAAAAATCTTTTAATGTGTTGTTTTGAACAATTTTGGAAACTTAAATATATAATGTAATTATATTTTCTATTAAGCCATTTCATTGTTAAATTATTCACTCAGGGCTCAATGGTTCTAGGATTATCAGTAATGCCTAAAGCTCTAAGAAATTCTTACCAAGTCATAACTGGTTGTAAAATTTCTTCAGTTTCTATTAAAAAAATCTCTTCAGCACTTGGACAAGGGAAGGAATGCTACATAGTTATGATCTTTTATTTTTATTTGTATTTTATGGCAGTCAATTCATTTGGCTGAAACATTTATTGAGCACCTACTATGGACCAGGCACTGTACTAGATGCTGGGAGACACAAAGATGAATATGACATGGTCCCTGTCCCCAAGCACTTGACAGTCTCTTGTAGGCAAACAAGTAGTGCAAAGACATAGAATATACTCTAAAAGGGACAAAAACATCAATAATGTAGTAATATTGGGCCTTTAAATACAAAGGTAATGTCAAATTGTTTATAATATCAAGGCAGACAATTAAAATGCATTTTCATGTGGTAAAACAGTGAAATCGAGACCTAATTAGTAACATGATAAAGATACTTAATGCTAAAAATGTACACCATAGTTTTTCAAGTATTTCATACTTAGAAATATTATTGCCCACATTTGTGCTATGTTTGAAGTCAGAATTCCAGGCGTTCACATCATTCACATCTCAGCAGGCTGGGGTTCAGTTTCTCACTCAGTTTATGAATTAAAATGGCTAATTCCTCGGTTGCTTGGCTCTTGTCTTCCAAAAGCTCATAACGAAGGCTGGAGATATCCTGCTTGATTTCTTTTAATTCACCTATAGTATTTGTATTAAAATATATATATATATAATTGGTGAGTTGCTCTTGGGTTTAGAAAAGAACAAAGTGAAATTCATACAGTATGAATACATTTATTCTATAAAGTCTCCAAGACAGCTATTTCAGTTTTTTGCCTTTAAAATATTTAAGAAAATATCTCTTTAAAAATACAATGTCATACATGTGCCTCTGTGTGTGTGTGTGTGTGTGTGTGTGTGTGTGTGTGTACTGGCCTTTTAACAGTGTTATAAAAATAACCCACCTATGTTTTAAAGAGTGAAATACACTTGGCTGGGGATTTAGCTCAGTGGTTTTGTTGCCTGCTGCACAAGCGCAAGGACCCAAGTTCGATCCCCAGTACCAAAAAAAATGGATTGTCTTACAAATCATTGTATTGTAGATAAGCCATTGACCCTAACAAGTAAATTTGGGGGGAGGATTTTACCTTGAATCTAAGAAATAATTCTGAAAATCATTGGTACTTTGCCTTGGCTTTTTTTTTCTTCAGTACTGGGGATTGAACCCATCACTGAACCACATCTTCAGCTCCCCCCACTCCTTTTTGTTATTTTGAAACAGGGTCCCAATAAGTTGCAAAGGTCCCCAGGTTGAGCTGGAACTTGGGTTTGAATCAGCATATGTTCAGCTTAATTTAGCTTTTTATAAATTGAATGGCATCTAAAACAAATCTGTGAGGATATTTCTTGGTATCTTTTTTAATGATATATTTTTATTTTTAACTGACACAGAATTATATGTATCAACAGGATACAGTATGACATTTCATCCTAGTATCTTCAAGGTTTTTAAAAATTTTTTTACTGGTTTTTAATTTTATTTTATGTGGGTTTTTTATGGTTTTTTGAGACAGGGTCTTACTTTGCAGTTCAGGCTAGCCTTGAACCTGCCTCAGCCTCCCAAATGCTGGGATTACAGGCATGCACCACCACACCCGCCTAAGGTGTTTAAAAATACAATTTATATGTTCTTTTATTATGTAATAGTTAATGAGCTGAGAAGATCTTATCATTTTAAGAAATTCTAACTCATCCTAAGAATACATATAAAATATTTGTGGATTCCTTTTGTGGCAAAAAAAAAAAAAAAGCTTCCTTTGACATGTAGCAAAATAGAGAGAATAAAATGATCTAATTTGAAACTACAAATCCAGTATCCCCATGCCCTCTTTTCTGGTGCTAGGGATTGAACCCACGGCCTTTCAAACGCTAAGCAAGTGCTAGCAAGTGGTCTACCAACTGAGCTTTATCCCCAACCTGGTTCATTTTCTCATACCATTCAGTATCACAATGGACACCTTTCATTTCCCTCCTACCCTAGCCTTCCTTGTTCCTGAGTCATGTGGAGAGGACACATCAGTGTTGCAGTTTGTCAGTACAGAAAACACTAATTCAAAACCTTTTTGGATTCAATCATCTCAGATTTTAGTTTTCTCATTTATTAAATGAGGAACTATCTTTTCTACTATGCTATATATGTTCTATATGCTGTACACGTTATATGATCAGCTTTATTATTAAGAACTTTGTTCAAAATTCAATTCTCATTAATTTTCCTCTTGTGAGAGGGCTAGAAAAATGCTGCTTATTTTGGGTGTTATGGCTGGTGTGTTTCTCCCACTTACATTAGTTTAGTTTTGAATTCCAAGGGAGGTTATTGTACAACTGATGAGGTTTCTACTTTCTAAGCTACATTCCTTTCCAATTCCATCTTCCTGAGACTATTTCTAGCCTACAACGATTAGATTTTTGCTGGTTCTCAATCACACATTCATAGATTTCTTTTGCACATGCTTATACCATTGGATTGACTCTGATTTACAAGGGATTCTTTGTATTAATCAGGTAATGACTTTAAAACTCATCAACAATTTTACTAAGGTTGGGTCTTTCTTATTAGTACAGATCAATCTAGAGGCATCTCATTTATGTTAAAAGGTAAAATCTCCATTTTTAGTGCAATATTTCTTCCAGGTTTATTTCTTTCCAACTCAAGTCCTGTGCTTAGGTTCTATTCGTCAGTGTTTAATGAAAAATTTTTATATTTCAGATGCCCTACCTAGAATATATATGCATTGAAAAATATGCACACATATATAGAAGCCAAGGAGGAAAGTGAAATTCAAAAGAGAAACATCAGACAAGGAAAATGGATTTGAGATTTGGTTCTGGGCAACAAAAGAGAGGTTTTACTGAAGCCATGTGGGATTCTGTTTGGGTCAAATGTTCTTTTTCCTACAACATTGAAAAAATGTTAAAACTAACGTAAAGTCATGAAAATCAGAACTGATATTACTACCTTATCTAAGAAGCACTTAAAACGGCTTGAAATACAATACGGCAGTCTTCACATTTTAATGATTAGCTAGGGTATTCTGAATAGAGAAAAGCCGCATCTGATTAACATTTTTAATAACAGTTTACTTAAAATGGAGTTTTAGACAAGTAATATGAGTCTCATGTCAATCTTAGAGGAACCTGAACTGCAACCTGAGAGTGGATTTTTAAAGTATGTTTCCATGTGATGTTTTCCATGCTCATTAAATTGACTCTGAAAAGGATGCTTCTCAATTGGAAATGCTTACCTTCATTAACTTCATCATTTTCTTTGTCTACTTGTGCTTTCAAAACATACCGCTTTATAAGTCTTTTCATTATCTGCTGTTGAGCAAAAAGAAACGAATATATCAAAATGATACACATAAGTGCCCTAGATTCTATTCTCCAAAGAGAACATGCCCGCAAACAAAAAACTTGGAGAAGAATTTTATGTAAGTATTCACAAAACAATTAGCTAGGTTTCAGAATTCGATCGCATTTTACCTTCTACTGAAATTTACTGCATAATCCATAAACATTTTTGCTTCAGCAATGAAAGAAGCTTTTTAAAAAAAGTTAAGTTGGAAGATTTCAATTCATGCTCTTTTTCAACTAATGGCTTATCTTTAAGGTGCACGGATGCTGTATTATTACCCACAGGCACTGCCTAATTTCCCACCATATATAAAAGATATAATATACATATAATGAATATATAATATGAATACATATTCATATACATATGAATATAGGTTCAATAAAAGAATTGGAAAATACATAGAACAATAAAAGAAATAAAATAATAACTCCACAATCTAAAGATAATTACTGTTGTTATTTTGCCATATGCCAAACTATTTTTTCTTTAAATTGTGTGTGTACAAATTATAAGGATTAGATATTATATTTCCTGAATATCATATATTCTGTTGCATACCTTATTCTCATGGCAATATGTATTGGGACTATTTTTGCAATCTAAATAAGTGACCTTAGAGGATAATTATTTATTCATATAGAAAAAAACTAAACTGGAGCCATACCTTCTAATATGAATACAAAAATTAATTCCAGTTCATTTTAAATGTGAAAGACAAAGTTTTTGTATCCTTTGAAAGAAAGCATATTTATTTCACAGTTGAACTGGATTTTTAAAAAAGATGAAAAATTCCAATTACAATAGAAAATACTGATAAATTTAACTTCATTATAATTTAAAACTTCTGTTGATAAAGATACCATAAAAAAGTAGAAAGGAAAGTCTCAAACTAGAAGAAAATATTGGTAATACTTTAATGAATAATTTGGATAAAAATACAAAGAACTTTAAGAAAAACTTAACCAAACTTTTAAAAATGCTCAAAAGACAAACAGGTGTTTGACAGAAATGGAGCATGTATGGTCAACAAAGTTATAAAACAATGTCAAGCTCTTTTCTTGGGGAAAACACTACTTATGTATAAAAAGAGATACAATCTTACATCTAATAAAGGGAACAACAAATCTGATAATAGCAAGAGGTGGAGAAGATAGAGACCAATGGGGACTTTTACACTTGGCTGGCAGGAGTATAAACAGACAATCTATTTAGAAGGCAACTTGGTACTATCTTTGAGCATTGGTACACTCTTTCACGCAGAAAGTCTGCTCCCTGGTAAGTGCCTGGAGAAAATGTGCAAGTGAGTCAAGGGACACAACAATGTTTACAGCAATTCTGTCCTAAGTAGCAAACACTGGAAATAATCCAAACAAATATCAACAGAACAGACAAATGATGGTATGTTATACAATATATTACCATTGTAGTCATTAATCAAATTAATGAACCACAGCCACACACAAGTGTGGATGAATCTTGGAAGCATAAAGTTGATGAAAAATTCCAGTTGCTGATGACTTCACAAAGCGAGAAACTATTCTCACAAAGCTCAATAACAAGTAAATGTATATATTTTAGGAATGTTAATATATATAATTAACTTACATTTAAAAAGAAAACCAAAGCAAGAGGATTAGAAACCCAGACTTCAGGAGAGTGATTACCTCTTAGTTGGAGGCAGAGGGGTGGAATAGAAGCAAAGGACACATAATGTTATCTCTGTCAAGTTTCATAGGTGTGCACAGAATAATGTCTCATGATTTGGTATGTGTTACACATATTCTTGTACACGTATCAAATATCACATTTAAAAGAAAAAAGATGTCTGAACTAAAATGCAGACATAATGAAAATGGAAAACAGACCCCAATTTTAAGGAAGTAGCAATTATGAACCTAAGAGACCCATTAGATACTAAGGTGAAGTAAAGTGGAGGCATCTAGTAGGACTGGAAATGTCTGTCTCAGAGATTAACAGCAGATAAAAAAAAGCCCATGCTATTGAGAAGGAAAAGCCTACTTCCCTGTCACAGTAAAATATAAAACCTGTTGAACCGTGGTGGAATCTAGGCCCTGGATAGACACACATTGTGAAATCGGGTAGATCTTAAATTCATATGTTCATTTAGCGCATATTTACTGACAAGCCAATTCTGTGCCAAGTACTGTACTACCACCCACGAATCAACACTGAACACAGTCCCTAGTGCTGTGAAACTTCATATCTATACAGAACAATTCACTATGCTTGGTGGATGTGTCAGGGATCTAATTAAATTGAGACACCAGGGAAAGCAGATTCTCCCAGAAATAAAATACCATGTCATGTGCATCACTTAAAAGCAGCTTGAAAGGCAGTAAGAAAATTAATAAAAAGCACTATTCATCAAGTAGTGCTGACACAATAGATTATCTGCATTGGGAAGTTAAAATTAGATTTCTGCTTCACACTATGCACAGAAGAAGGAGGAGGATGAGGAAAAAGCAGAAGGAGGAGGAGGAAGAGAAGGGGAAGAAGGGAAAGGAAAGGGAAGGGAAGGGAGAAGAAAAAGAAAAGAAAGAGGAAGAAGAGGAGAGAAGAAGAGGAGGAAGAAGAAAAAGAAGCAAAATGGATTAAAGATCTAAATGGATAAAGCAAAATTTTTAAAGAAAAAGGAAAATATTCTTCAAAATATAAAGAACAAGCCATAAAGAAAAATAAAAGACAAATCTGACTGTGTTCCAACCATTGTAAAACTATATAATAAGGGCTATGGGTAGTCTTGATGTCAAATGGTATTTTTCCTGTCGTCCTGGAGTTAGTAAGTCTTAAACTGGTGAAAAAGTATGGTAATTACTTACTAGTAGTTGGGGCCAGTCAGCTCCCCCCAGGGTTTACTGAGAATTACACCCACTTCCTCTTTCCAGAGAGAGGTTATTCTGTCCCTTCCCTGTGTGAAAGGGAGTGCGTGCTTCCTCTCCCTCCAGAAGGAAGGGATGCGGAATCCAAACAACTGCTTATGAAGATGAGGCTTGCCTAACAGAAAGGGACCCTGGCCTTCTGTTTCCAGTGGAATGTCTACTCCGGAAGTCTTGGTGGCCTGCTCTGGCATTTAAATCAGAGAAAAAAAAAAAATGGAGAGATAAAGGAGGAGCAGCCAGGGTGTTAACCTGTACTCCCCTTATTCAATAAGCAGGTAATTGGACTGAGTCGAGTGGAAGTAATAGAAATTAATGAGTGGAGCCAGACCTGGTGGCCCACACCTGTAATCCTAGCACTCTGGGAAACTGAGGAAGGAGGATGGAGTCCAGCTTGGGCAATTTACCAATTTAGGGAAATTCCATCTTAAAATGGAAGGAGGAAGGGAAGGAAGGGAGGCAAACAGACAGGCAGGGAGGAAGGAAGGAAAGGTGTGCTGGGGACAGAGCTCAGTTGAGAGGCCTTGTTTTCAATTCCAGTACTGGGAAACTTAGTAATTTAGGGAGATCCTGTCTCAAAATGGAGGGAGGGAAGCCAGGCAGGCCAGAAGGAAGGGTGTGTCCTGAGGATGGAGCTCTGTCGGGAGGCCCTGGATTAAATCTCCAGTCCTGGGAGAAAAAAATCCATGAGTGAGACCGTCTGTTCACTAAGCAGGGTTGGGAAAGGGCTATCCTCAGGAAAACACTTAAACACAGAGCACGCCTCAGGGCAGAGCCCCATCTCCACACCCCACACCCTTGGTTTCCAGCTGTCTTAAGGCCCTGCCTTCTTAGGGAGGAAACCGGATGTTTACAAACAATGCCATAAACATTTTAGTTGGTAAAGAAAGAGAGAATAACTCAGGGCGTTAAATGGTCTTATTTAGAACCATTTACAAAGGTTTTATTTAAAAATCCTATTTCTACAAAAAATTAAACTTCTTAAAAATTATAGTAAGAGAACAATATGTTTAGAGTAAAAAAAAATCTCTGAATTTGAATACAGGTATTTATTTACTCGCTGAGAGAATTTAAAATACTCAATCTCTAAGCTTTTGTATCCTCGTCTCTATAATGGGCATAGTGAAACTTAGTCTATAAAAAGTTGTGTAGCTGAGGGTGGTGGCATGCACCTGTAATCCCAGCACTGGGGAGGCTGAGGCAGGAAGATCACTGTGAGTTCAAGGTCAGCCTGGGCTACATTGTGAATTCAAGGCCAACCTGAACTAAACAGCAAGACCCTGTCTCAAAAAACATAATACTTGTATAGATTAAAAAAGCACATGCATGTAAAAGCATAGCTCCTACTTAGAAAAGTTTAGCTGTATTATAAAGTTTGAAAACTAAGATATTTTGAACTAATATCCTAGTATAATACTCTCTATGTATATAATATTATCTGAAACCATGGTTATAAAAAGTCTATGTAATCTTATATTTACTGCCAGAAGGGAAAATAAGAAAATAGAATGTTTTAAAAATGTATTTAAAGCCCAAGTTCCCTAGAAATAGCCTGAATAAAAGCCACTCATGTTAAATTTCCTCATTAAAGGGAAAATAAAAATGCACAACTAGTCATTCCATTTCATTTTTTAACCTGCAGGGAAAATTACATGTACAGGCCTAAAATTTTCCCCTTCAAAATTTAGTGTGTTTTAAGCTTGCCATATAACCCATAGAAAATGTCACCTCAAATATATCCACCACTGCACAAAGCTTGAGCCTCTCTACCAGGCATAAAGATACCTGATGTTACAGGGACATCAGCTTCCCCACACAGGACACTCCCTGGTGAGGGGCCATCCCTTCCCTCATCTTGGAAAAGTAATTTAGGTGAATTCCAAAATGATCTGCCCCTCAGAGAAGACAGCTAGAATTCACTATTTCCATTCCACTAGGAAGTTTGTCTGATGGACTCAAGGCAGTCTTGTGCAGTAGGTGACAAAGACTCTCTCCTTGGGGTCTCTTTTCTCCTATTGTAATAGTTCCTGAGGGGGGGGAAATCTGTTTTTACTATTCAACTCCTT